GGTAACCCGGCAGCTGAGCCGATTGTCCGCCGGGTGCCGCAGCCACGGGCGCTTTTACAATGGCCTGGCGGACAATCGGCTCGGCTGCCGGGTTGCCGAGTCGCCGGGCCGCCGGATACCGGGAGGAAAAATATGGCATTTTCTTACTTATTTTTTCAGGCTGTTTTCGCATATTTTTTGTAACAAAAAAGTTCCAAATTTCTCTCGTGACTGCGACGGATGCCTAAGCGCAAAGCTGCGAGAGACGCGCACCAAAATATTACTTTCGATCAATCTCCAGTTCTTCGACAACTCCGACATTCTATCCCCAGTCATGAACTCGTCGACCGCACCAGTCGTCACTTGCCAAAGCACAAATTGTCCCAATGGATACCCGCCGTCACGCCTAGAGTGCCCGACGTGCAGCAAGTGATTGTCTTCTCCAGACCATCCATGAGACTGGGCTCAACGTTTCATCTGCCATCTAGGCTTGGAATCAAAGGATCCTACTTTTGTGGTCAGGAGTGTTTCAAGGCAAACTGTGAGTCTTCGGATATGACTTCTGTCATGTTTGTATAGCTAACCGTATGTGCAGGGGTGAGTATACATCCGCAAGACGTCTGCATCATTTCGGATGTCTTAGGAGGACTGTTCTTAGAAAACGCACAAGATCATTCACGACCTTGCCACGTCCCGACAACCCCTACTCAACGGTTCGAACGTTAATCAAGGTGCGTCTATTCAATGCATCGTATGAGGTCCCCATGTAACACTCCCTCGTAGATGGCGCCTCCAATCCTTTCGGAAACTTCCAGTTCACCGGAACGATGAGGCCAAAATACCCTCTCAGTCCAAGGCGTGCGGTGCCGGAGCATATACAACGGCCAGACTATGCAGAAGACGGTACAGTCAAGAGATTCTTTCGTGGCTTCTCGCTTGCCCTGTAAGTATCTGACTTTTCATTTGGTATACAGGCATTCCCATCTCGGAGAACAGAAAGGGAGGGCAGCCACCCCGGATCCTCTCGCCGGAGGAGCAAGAGAAGATGCGGACTGCGTGTAGAGTGCGTGTCTCGTCTCCGATCGCTGGGTCCTCAGAGTACTCGGGATCTCAAATCAACTCGCCAGCTCATACTCGTTCCTGTGTTGTGACCTTCAGCTCGCGCGTGAAGTCCTCGATATCGCCGCCTCGCACGTCAAGCCCGGCGTGACGACCGACTTCATCGACGAGGTCGTACACAATGCAACCATCGAGCGCAACTCGTACCCCTCGCCGCTAAACTACCGTAACTTCCCGAAATCTGTCTGCACGTAGGACGCACGACACCTGATACTCCCCATACACTATCTTACAAGCCTCTGCAGGTCCATCAACGAGGTCATTTGCCACGGTATCCCCGACCAGCGCAGCCTTCGAGAGGGAGACATCATAAACATCGACGTCTCGCTCTACCACGACGGTACGTCTTTCGCGCTACGGACATGTTCTCCCTTACTCAAGCCCCTTTCTGCACGTACATAGGTTTCCATGCTGATCTGAATGAGACGTACCCCGTCGGCCAGATCGATGAAGACTCGAAAAAGCTCCTGAAGGTCACCCGACACAGCCTGGACGAGGCTATCAAGCTCTGCAAGCCTGGTGCGCTCATCCGTGACCTTGGCAAGGTGATGTGAGTTCAAAATAGCCTCTGCGCCTTGCGGCACTCGCTGAACGGACCGCGACGATAGAGAGCCTATCGCCCGTGCGGCTGGATGCGCCGTCATCCGGCAGTATACCGGACACGGCGTTAACGATCTCTTCCACTGTGCACCGAATGTGCCTCACTACGCGAAGAATCGTGCTATTGGCACGATGAAGCCCGGCATGGTCTGTCTTCTGCCCTATCTATGTGGCAATATGCCTGCTGACGGTGTCTGTAGTGCTTCACGATCGAGCCTATGATCAACTTAGGCCACAATTGGGACCTCGTCCACTGGCCGGACAATTGGACTGCTACTACTGTAGATGGCAAGCGTAGCGCGCAGTTCGAGGAGACTCTTCTGTGTGTCCACTCCATTACCATTCAACGAACGTGCGCACTGACTTGTGGCCGCAGAATCACTGAGACTGGTGTCGACATACTGACCGCAGGTCAGCGACGAGCAGACCTGTATGATGACTAGATATGTAGGTGTCCAACGTGTTAGCCATGTACACCATAATTCGTGTTCATTTCGTGCTAGTCATGCGTAGTGTGATAACTGGTGTGAATAGGACCGCTCATGCCGCTGTCCGACGAGTGAGATAGAGATATATTTTAGTCTTGGTGTGCCTTCCGATGTGAAATCTCATCGTTGATCTCCTTCGTGGCCTCATCGAACGGCTCCTCTCTGTCCAACGCGCTGATCCGCACGACAGACACGCCGTCCGACAGGCTGGCTTTCCGCGTACGCTGCGGGTGGCGCATGTGTAGGCCGTCGACGTCGCTATCGAGAACCGGACTCGTCTCGACCGCAGACTCCGTGGCCGTCGTCATCACAGGCCATCCCGCGGGCAGAGCTGGATTAGAAGCGCGCCGGAGCTTCTGTAGGTCTGCATACGAGCTGCGCGCGCTGCGAGCCCGGCCGTGTGTCGTGGGCTTCTTGGATTCGAGGAATCCAAGAACATGGTCGTAGTCGCCGGATTCGTCTTCGTCGGAGTGTTCAGGTGTCGCCGCACGACTGATTTCGTTGCTTCCCGCCCAGGCACTGGTGCCTCGGGATGCGCTCTGGCTCCAACCGAATAGTCGCTCATCTAGCCAAGTCTGTGAAAACCATTGAATGAGATTTGTCGTCAGGTGAGAGGTGCTACGTACCATAGGATGTACGAGCAGATTGCCCTGAGCATCAACAGCTCCGCTACTGCTCTTGCGGCGCCAGATGCCAGGCTGGCCAGATGACGGTGGGGCACTGGCAGACGGCACGAGGATGCGGAACTATGGGAGCTGTAGTAAACGACTGCGATCATTTCTCTCAAAAGCACAGAATTTACCTCATTGAAGTCCTCGTATATTTTCGGGCCAAATTCGTTAATTGTGTCAGCGAGCTCGTTAGCTAGTCTGGACCGCATTTCTCGAACTTTCTCAAGAGTGCGTGATTGGCCAGGGAACAAGGCAAGGACCAAAGGGCGCAAGGACCTATCGAAACATTAGCGAAGGCCTTCAGGAAGAGGCACCAGTCACATACTTCAACACGTCCATGCCAGCCTCACCAAACTTGAGAGCGGCGTATCCAATAAATGGCAAGGATATTAGGACAATGATAGGAGTGAAGATCACCCATTGCCAGGAAAATCCGGCCTTGAGTGCCACAAATGTCGCAAGGGAGGCGTAGAAGAGATAGAGAAGGGGTGCGATTCCGAGGGAGATGAGAATCTTCCATGTCGCGACGACATCTTTACCTGCCACTTTAACCACGGATGCAGCGAGGGCCTCTGAGATAGATAGCGCTTGTAAGCAGTAGATTGCGCTAGAATGTTGCGAAAAATATACCCTTTGCCTTTTGTCTGGAAATGACAGAGGCCGTTACGAATATAGGTCCGTTCAAGATCAATCCGGGCAAAGCCAATATCGTCCAGACGAATAATAGGAGTAGACGATAGAGAAGTAGGCTCAGTGTTTTCCAGCTAGCCGGTTGTGCTTTTGGGACCTAATAGAATGTAACGTGAGAACCATGCGACGTGCCATAGCTTGGGACTGACCTGGTGGTCGCGCATTCCAAGGTCGCGTGTAAGGCGGTTATACCTGATAACATCGTCACGAAGCTTTTTGATTCTTGGCTCGTCTTTGAAGTGCAGGTAGCCTTCAATAAACCGCTTGTTCAGCTCAACGACCTGTCCAAGGGTGAGATGCTGGCCGGGTGTCTTGTACAGGCGACGTGCGGCTTGAATGACCTAAACTTCCATTAGGGCTGTCATAGGGCAGACACAAGACTGTGCATACCATCAAAGTCTCGTAGTCGGGTGCACGGATTGTGACAGTCTTCAAGCCGTCATATATAAGGTCCAGCAATTTTCCAACCGCCTCCCGCTTCTCCGGTCCTCCCTGCTTGAACTTCTCCACCAGCTCCTCTGGGACGTCCAACGCAGACCCGAATTCGACAACCGCGCGGGATCGGAAACGGTGTGGGTGGAAATACGAGAGTCCGACAGGGACGATTCTGACCTTCAGCTTGGGGTTGTCGGCCATCGCACCAAGAGCCATGAGCGAGACACCAGCCTTGAGAGGAAGAAGATCGGTGCGGTCATGGCTGCCACCTGCGTAAGCGTTAGTCGCCGTAAACACACCCACGGGGAGGATGCTTGCCTTCTGGGAAGATGCCGATGCCGCCTCCATGCTTCAAGCATTCGTACACATGATGGTACATCTCGCCCTGGTCGACGTGTGGCAGTTTCTTGTACTCAAAGCCGGTCTGCCCCCCAACCTCGAGCTCCTTCTGCTTCTCACGTATCCGCGTCGTACCCTTGCCTCTTTCCCCTCCAAACTCCTTCTTGACCCTCAGCTCTGTGTCGGAGACGACCTCCAGAATCTCCGCCACGACAGAATTGACGGACTTCGGCAGCATAATCTGCATCTTGGGCTTGAAGTCTTCTGTGAACTTCGTGCCGTGGCCAATGACGAGACATGGGTCGCTTTCTGATATCGTAACCCGGCCAATACCAGGTCTCGCGCCGTCCACAGCGCGTACCACAGGGACTAGGAGGACATGAGAGGCGCCAAAGCGCAGGTATGAAGTTCGCACATACTGCTGGACATTAGCTTCGCGAAGAAACCGACGGCCTGACGCTTCATACTCTTCGCGGCGATGAGGAACTGAACCTTCCGTCGGGTCTCTCTGTGCACTTGCAGAGCAAGCAGCAATGGGTCCAAGAACTACATGCCACGCGAAAAAATGAGCAGGGCCAGCAGCGTTCGGTAGATACTGACCTGGTTGTGATGTGGAGCCCCTACAAAGATAACTGGACCATCTCGAGGTATATTGAACGCCCCTCTCGGTCTTATTTCGCGAAAGAAGATATTTGTGACAGTCTTCCAGAACAGCAGGGCAGCCTCGTAGACGAGGTCCGCCTGCGTAGACACGACGGAGTCATTATTCGCGGTCGGAGGCTGCATTAGGTTTTAGAAGTTGAAAAGTGGGTATGGTATACAAACAACAGGAAGATGGGGAGAGAACTATGCACGAGACGACATGCGGGGAGCCTGAGACAAGCAAGCGAATCCAGGCGAAGGCGCACCCCGACGTCAGTTGGCGTCAAAAACAAGGCGCCAAAGGCGCCTTCCAAGAAGCGCTCAGCGTTCAGCATTCAGCGATGAAGACGGTCGAGACGAGGACAGTGTCAGGAACAAAAACAGGGGAAAAGGCGGCGAAGAGCATGACAGGTGGCACAGCATGTTCACGGAGTCGGCTCAACAGGGGCGCCGTCAGCGTCAAGAACAGGATTGGGGACGGTGTGCCGGTATTTTTGGCGACGTCGTGGGTGTCTTGCGAAGCCTGATATCCGCATAGGACGAGGAACGGGACGAGGGTCTCATCTCGAGTGACGGTAATAGTGTGTCGTGGTCGGCAATATCATCGTCAGAATAGCCGGGACTGGATGCTCTGCTTCTATCGGCGGAGCTCCAGCCGAAAAGACGTTCGTCAAGCCAAGTCTAGAGCAAGTAGCATCAGTTCAAGCAACACGAGTGTCTCACAAATATGGTGCGTGCCATGGGATGATTCAAGAGGCGACCCTGTGCATCTCTCCCCTTTCGTTGCCAGACGCCCTGGCCGCCGGAAGGAGGTGCGCTAGCCGCAGGCACTAGAATACGAGTCTGTGCAGGGTTGTGAGACTACCTCTATTCATACAAGGGGAGCCAAACCTCGTTGAAATCCTCAAATACTTGCGGTCCGTATTCGTTGATAACTTCTGACAGCTCATTTGAAAGTCGTAAGCGCATAGCCTTGACCCGCTCGAGATATTTCTGTTGACCAGGCGCCAGCGCGAGGACCAACGGTCTCAATGATCTAGAAACACGATTAATCTCTGTCGCCTGTTGGACCGGACGACCTACTTCAGAACATCCATGCCAGCTTCGCCGAATTTCAATGCTGCATATGCAATGATCGGCAGAGCCGCCAAGACGGCTATGGGCGTCCATATTATCCAGGACAGAGGTGCATGGGCCTTGATCATAACTAATGCCGCTAGGAAGGCATAGAAACCATACACTACAGGTGTCAGTCCTAGCGAGATCAGGACTTTCCAAGTTCCTAAAACGTCTAGGCCTTGGACCTTGACCACGGATGCCGCAAGCGCCTCTGCCAGAACGCGGGTTATTCAGTCCGACATGTCAAGACGATTTAGCAGAAACCTGCCTTTCGCCTTCCTCAGCGACACTATCTTTGCCGTCAGAAAGATGGGCCCATTCAGGATGACCCCGGGCAACGCAAGGGTCGCCCATACTGAGAGCAACAGGATTCGATAACACAGGAGACCAAAAGTCCTCCAGCCCGCTTTACGAGCCCCAGGCACCTGGTGGTCGCGAAGTCCCAAATTGCGCAGTACACGGTTGTATTTCAATACGTCCTCGCGGAGTTTCTGCACCCTTGGCTCATCCTTGAACATGACATACGCCTCGAGGAAACGTTTGTTTAGCTCCACCACCTGGCCGAGGGTCAGATGCTGCCCAGGGGTAACATACAACCGGCGGGCTGCCTGGATCATCTGTGGAAGCGTCGCGTTAGTACGGTCTAAATTAGTCGATGCACACATGTTTACCATGAGTGTCTCATAGTCCGGAGCCCTTATGGTCACCGTCTTCAGGGCGTCATAAATTTGGTCAAGAAACTTTCCGACTGCCTCCCTCTTCTGTACACCGCCCTGCTTGAACTTCTCCACAAGGTCCAGTGGGACATCCATAGCATGCCCGAACTCGACGACGACGCGCGAACGGAACTTGTGTGGATGAAAGTACGACAGTCCGACGGGGACGATCTTGACCTTCAGATCGGGATTGTTGGCCATGGACCCTAGGGCCATTAGAGAGACTCCAGCTTTGAGGGGGAGTAGGTCAGTGCGGTCATGACTTCCGCCTGAAACATATGAGCTTGAAGTTGGTTGGAGAGGCGGGACGGCTGTAGCGTACCTTCGGGGAAGATGGCGATACAGCCGCCATCGTCCAGGGCGTCGTAGACATGTGCGTACGTCTCAGCCTGGTCTACGTAAGGAATTTTCTTGAACTCCAGACCCCCTTTCCCTTTAAGACGCAGTTCCTTGAGTTTAGCAAGGACTCCCTCTGTAGCAGATCCGCTGTCGTTAGCAAATGCTTTTTTGATCCTCAGCTGATCATCCGATATAACCTCGACAACTTCCGCCGAGGGAGCTCTCACAGACTTGGGAAGAAGAATTTGCATTCTGGGAGAGAACTCTTCAGTGAAGCGTGTGCCATGGCCTACGACGAGGCAAGGGTCGTGGTCAGAGATTGTGACGACTCCGGTTCCGGGTTTGGCCAAGTCTTGAGCGCGAACGACAGGGACTGTCCAAAATATATCAGCCGGGGAGTGGTCCCCCATTAGATGGTAGTGGGGACTTACTACTCCAGAATAGCCTTCCAAAGAATCCTATGAATTTTCTTTGCATGCTGGCAGCAGCCACGAGGAACTGCACCCTTCGGCCTGTCTCGCGGTACACCTGAAGAGCCAGCAACATATCCAAGAACTACATTCGCCGGTGAGGATAGCCACATCCCCAGATGTTTGAACATACTGGAGACATACCTGGTTACTGTGCGGCGCTGCCACGAAGATGACGGGGCCATCGCGGGGAATGTGAAACGCCCCTCTGGGCCGTATCTCTCGGAAGAATATGTATATGACCAGCTTCCAGAAGAAGAGAGCAGTGTCGTACACAAACTCCGAGGACATCCGGCTTGCCGCAGTGCGCTGGGAGCTAGTCGACTCCTTCACCATGTTGCTGGTTGGGCGACAGCTTGAACGCAGTTCCGGTGCACGCCGATGCGAGATGTCTTGCACGACGTGGGGTCCTGAAGGCAAGGCTGGAGATATTAACCATCTGTCATCCCACTGCAACAGCAGCCGAGGCCGTTGGGGAAGCTAAATCAAGCGCACGTCAGGCTCAGGCGCCAATGCAGCGGCGGGCTTAGACCAACAGACCGGCGCATGAACAGAGATGAAGACGAGGGTATGGGATTATATATGAGCGTGCGTGCGAGTATACAAATTATAGCCAGGATATACAGTGGGTTCAGCTCCGACACAGCGTGTAAAGATACACAGAATCCTATGGCACAAAGCACAAAACGACAAATATGGTAACCTTAACCAGGACGTAACTCCGACGGTGCCGCTCGCCCTTGCGACCCGGTGCTTGTGGTACTTGATCTGTATTGGAAGAGGTCGTGTAGTCGCGAAAGCTTCTCCTGCTGAGGCGGAGGGAGATCGGACAGACTCGGTCGTTGGGGGGACATCGGGGACGTGGGGGACGTAATACGCGGAGGCTCGACATCTGTCGACGATCAGATGTTACTCGACGTATAACATGGAGCACACTTACCAGTTGTTATAGCGATAGGGGCCATCCGCTCGCGCGAATTCGACTCTAGTTCTGTCGGAATTGGTTAGCGCCACGTTGTGTCGAGAACGGTGAAGAAGTACTTGAAAGTGTTTTCGCAACCGCGACGCTCCTCTCTTCATCTTCGGCTGCTCTGCTTGCTAGCGCACGCGTTATATACTTGCGGAAAGCCGGGCCAGTCGAGTCCAGCATCTTGTCAACTTTACCCTTCTTATGCGGATGTGCCTTCAAGAAGTGGTGGAGTTCGGTGATCCCTTCCTTGTGCATCGCACCCGTCGTCTCACTCGATATATGTTTGATGATCCCCACGAGCTGCTCGTCAGGGTCCGGCTCCTGTGCAGGCAGTGACGGGCTGCGGCCATGGCCGTTGACGGAGGACACGCTTTGACTTTGACTTTGACTTCGGCCATGGCTAGATGACCGTCGTGAAGAGATCGTGTCCTGTGGAGAGATGGGCCGGCTGAGAGCTGGAGACTCTCCGTGAGGCGTCGGTTCACGATCTAGGGCGGCTCCTCGTGCTGGCATTTCCGTAGCTGTCCGCGTACTTGAGTTAAGAATACGGTAGACATACGGGTACACGATGGTTGCTGAGGGGTCATCGAACGAAGCCGACAGCAGGTCATAGACGTCGTCACCATAGTGCGCTGCAGAGACGTATCAGACCGGGCAATTATGATAAAAGGATAGCAATTTTACTCACCGACGACATGCTGGATAATGACCTTAACGGTCCGCAAGGGCATGTCACCGCACGGCACCTTGTTCGTTGATCGCGCGCGCCATTCATTCGGAGGCACGGATTGCAGGAAGTGCTCAATGGCTGGGAACAACTCAACCGGATCAAGGGCCGACTTCTCGAGGTCTTGTGGGATGTTCCGCGCAAGCTTCCATATACACTTCAGGACGAGCTCGGCAACCTTGGCCTCCTGCGAGTCGGGAGACGTGCCGTTTGCAGGGAAGGGCTTGACAATCTGCAGGAGGAGTTGGAATAGAGCGCGGAAAACCGACATCCTCCTGGCAGTAGCGAATATACGCAGGATGATCATGTTGATGAAGCGCGACAAGTCCTTAACCTTCGTATCCGGACTATTGTCGGTTTGCAGGAGACGAAGCGTCAACTCTTCCAGCAAAGATGTCAGGATGTCTCCGTTTAATGACTCGGCGAGGAAGACGTGATCGCAGAAGGCGTTGAGAGTCTGGATGAGGTGCTTGGCAAGCCTGAAGTTTTCAGGCACAGCGACATCATCCGGGCGCTCGAAGACATGCGCCATTTGCAGGGTAATCGTTTCGATGAGACCTTCCGTGTGCTCAGCGAGTTCGCGGTAGGCAGAAGACGTTGGGCCCTCATCAGGTGAGATCTCGAGCACCTTCTGAACCTTCTTCAGTGCGTCGACACTACGTGAGGGATCATTGCTCAGAATACTTGAGATGGCCACGGTGATGTCGTCGGAAGACCCTGAACGGACCGGCTCATCAAAGTCGGGATGGTGGACATGCCCGTTACCGTTTGTGTGTGGCGGCGACTCAGCCAATAAATCGGGCTCGTCGTGCTCTGGCTGAGCAGCGAGTGAGTGGCTTGGGATGTGCTGTTGATCGCTTGGACGGCCGCGAGGAGCCGTGAGACGGGAAGGAGGGAAGCCTTTCGGCTTGCCGATGCCACTCGAAGATGCAGGAGCAGGCAGGTGAGAGGAGGCAGCAGGCATCGTCTTCGAAGCCCGCATAGGTGTCGCCATCTTGCTAGCAATAGACGGCTGAGGTGACGTCGCGCGAGCTCCTCCGTATGCTGGCGAGATAGGGCGTGCAAGACGAGATACTGGCGCGACAGCCGGGCTCGATGGTCGAGGGATGCCACCTACGCGAGAGGCGCCACCAGGAACAGGGGACGCTGAACGCTGAAGAGTGGCAAGGCGGGACATCAGGGCACCGGCAGCAGGGATCTCGGCCTTCTCCGGTGTGCTGGGACCTGCGACACGGCGCAGTCGTTCCTCTAGCTGTGTCTTGTCCTTGGGTGAAAGCGACCCGACGAGCTTCCAGATTTTTTCGCCGACAAGAACATAACCTTCGCTGTAAGGATATCAGTGAGCGACCACTCATAACAGACGGCGTAGTGACCGACCTCAGAGCAGCGAGCGCGGACTTCCTCACGTTGGGATCCTTGTCGGAGATTGCGGATGCGATGACCGGGAATGCTTTTGCCGGCTCGCAGGCACCGATGCCGAAGCGCTTCAGGATACCAGCCAGCTCATCAAGTGTGCCCTGCCGAGTCTTAGCCACCTTCGACTTCAGGCCATGTTCCAGTAGGAGGGAGGAGACCCGGCTGAATGCGTACACTTTGGGAAGCGTCTGAATGATCTGTTGCACCCTAAGTCTCACGGGTTCGCGTGCGTCGCCAAGCTGGCAGTCGACCTAAGTAAAGTCTGCGACCAGAGACCATGAGATCAGGGCTCACCTTGTGAATCATCGTCGGGATGAAACACACGGCCTCGTTATCCGACGACTGATAATCTATCGACTGGAAGAATGCGAGCACAGACTCAACCACATCCAAGCATTTCTGTACCAAGTTCGACTGGGGTTCGTGCGCTTTCATGGATACATACTTGAGGGCTAAGTCCGAGTTGGCTATGCATACTGCCCTGACTTCGTCGATCGGCCCGAACCGCTCATCGCTGGCCTCGACTGCAGAGTAGAACTCATACATTATGTTGAGACCAAGAACATGGTCGTTCACGGCATTGTGATCGCGACTGAACAAAGCACCGATGAGTTCTTTCGAGGCGTGCGGCTCCATTTGATGCTGCAGCAACTCTGCAAGATCCTTGCGAGTTGTTCCGCTTTCGTTGATCCACTTTTGTGCGTCCTTGGCTAAGCGTGCCTTCTTTGCGTCAGGATTAGCACCTGTAAGAGGCATAGATGCAGTGGCAGCTGGCGGGGAACTCTTCGCGGTGGCAGGCATAACTCCTGGTCGCTTCAGACCAGTAGCCAGCTTACTAGGAAGACGAGACGTGGAAGAAGGCGCCGTTGCATCCGAAGGGGTCTCAGCACGCGACTCGGGACGGGAGACTGAGCCTTGGGGCAGTTTCCGACGAACAGTGGTAAGTTTGCTGGCAGGCGCTGCCTTCGCGGTTGCCGTGGGTGGCGGAGAGGTTTCCCTTGGCGAAGGCGATTCCGCCGGTGACGGTGCGGCAGCGGAGGCAGGTTTGGCAGCAGCAGGTTTGGCAGCAGATTTTGCCGCGGCCGACGCCTTGGCTGGAGCAGGTGCTGCAACGGGCACAGCAGGAGCGGAGCCTCGGGCAGCCTGGATGAGCGGCACAGCGGTCGCCTTGGAGGCAGGCTTAAGCGAATTTGTTTGCGCCATGACGTAGTCGGGCCCTGCAGACGAGACAAGAGTTGGTAGTAGGGCCTGCGCTGCCTTCCTTACATCGCCGTTCCGGTCATCGAGGGTAGAGACGATATGACCAGCCCAGCTACTGATGTCGAGACCGGGAGTAGGTGGGTGTTCCTTGAACCAATCGACAAGCCAACCCATGAGGGAAGATCGCTGCAGTGGATTGACACTCTCCAACGCAGTTGCGATGCCTGGGATCATCGGTTCTAGCGTCTCGCACGCGTTCGCGATCGCTGTGAGAGTTTGTACAGCTAATGCACGGATAGGGGCTTTCTGATCTGCGAGAACGGTCGACACGGGCAGAACGAAGAAACGACATTGCTTATCGAACGGCTTGCCCATACCGGTAGCAACACGTGCGACGATATCCAGAGCAAGGCTCTGCACAGCTTTGTTGCTGTCCGTTACCCGCGCCTTGAGAACTTGGCCAATCTCACCTGTGAAGAGAAGTTAACGTGGAAAAATATCTCGGAGCCGCGGACATACCCATCGTTGGCTTCAAGCGCTTGTTAGCACCTTGGTCCAGTATCGCCTGCAATGTCTCAAGCGCCTCCTTTTTGGTTTTCCACGCATCGCTCTTCGCATCAGCGAGGATAGTGGTGCCTTTCAGCAGACCGTCAATCTCCACGCGCGGGAAGAGGTCGTCCAAAGGATCGCCTCCAGCAGCAGCCTTGCTGGCTCCGCCTCCTGACGTAGCCACCATATTCGCTAGGTCGGCTGATGTCCGTACAGGCTCCGGTGCCGGGTTTCCCTCGACTCTGTCGAACTCAGCGATGATCGTCTTCAGGAGCTGCGGGTTGAGATCTTCAACGAGATCCTTAATACCTGTTGGAATCACATGTGACTATCGCAGCTTCGGAAGGAACCGTCCAAATGAACTCACTGGGTCCCGCAAAGAGCTTGACGGTCACGAGTGCCTTCGTGGCGCTGGTACGCACAGCGGCATTCGAGTTCGCCAACGCGGTCTTGAGAAACTCTATCAACGCGCGTAAGGAAAGACCGGCAATTCCAAACTCTACGACAGCTTGGTCGATCCATGTTACAGCATCGGCCAAAACCTTGGGTGCCTTTTGCTTCGATAGTGGCTCATATGCTGATTATTTCAATCAGCTGAGAGCACCGCGGAATGCTACCATTCACTTACCGTGTCCAAAGACGAATTGGAGGGACGTTTTTTCCCCGAAGAGCATGAGAGTTTCGCCGGCGGGTTTCTTAAGTTTCACGTCGCCTAGCTTCTCAGTAAGGTGTGGGATGCATAGTGCCACCGACGATCTTCCGAAAGACGGGCAATGTTCCGCCAGGATGTTCAGGATGCCGTACAACTTAGCTGACACCTGAGGAGCAAGATCGGTCCTTAGCCCGAAGCACGCTCCCAGGGGCGACGAACACTCACTTGGAAGTTCTTCTCGCCCCACCCTTTCTTCCCGAGGAATCTCACGACCACTTCAGAATCGAGAGACTCGGCGCTGCTCTCTACCCAACCGGTCATTTCTTCTAATGTTGCGAGACGGGTCTTCCAGTTCGAGTCACCGAGCCCCGCTGCGAAGTTCTCCGGGATCGTCTCCGCAGCGAGGGCGTCCGCATCCTCGGAGCTGTGCTTGTACTTGAACGTGTCGAGTGCCCCTGCAGCAGGAGGCGGAGCAGCCTTGCCTGATTTAGCGGCCGCTGGTGGAAGAACGACCTTCTTCACAGGGGGCGCTGCTGCTGCGGGTGCAGACGGAGCTGCTGGTGCTGCATCGTCGCCAGCATCGGCTGCTGGAGCTTTCTTGGCCTGTAGAGCAATATTGACGCCCGTTCATAGATACATGGCTGAGTATATGCGTACCAAAAATCGGGCTGGCGGCTTCTTGGCTGGCTTGTTCTCGATCGACTGCAGCAGCTCGTCGTCATCTCCGGCAACGGCGGGCTCGGACTTCTTGGCGAGTTGCTCAGCCTCCGCAGGAGCAGGCACCGCGGCCTTCGGAGGTGCTGCCTTCTTCTTCGGTGGTTCCTTCGCGGCAGGGGGAGGGGCTGGCTTCGGCGCGCCGCCAGCCTTGCACTTCACAGTCGCCTTCTCGTGAGCCTCCTTGACCTTCGCTTTTCGGACATCTGCGAGACTGTTCATCAGAGCGTTCAGCGGTCGCTCGCCGACCATCTTCATCAGAGTACCGAGGCATGTGGCGGCCTCATTGCGAGCTCCTTCAAAGGAATCTTCAAGCAGAGAGGCAAGCGCTTCAGAGACAGGCTTGATCTGCGCCGGAGGCACGGGCGTCGTCGATGTCGCGAGACAGCGACCGAGGAACTTCAACGTGCCTTCCTTAACCTGTGGGTTCTTGGAGATTAGCGCTGGTAGAATGTCGGGAAGAATGTCGGGCAATGTGGTCTGATGATACACGGTTAGGGTCGGGGGGAACTAGAAGCAATAGAAGGCTTACTGTGGCAAAGACAGCGTCCAGCGCTGCTCCGATAGCGTCCGTAACGTTCGCCTTCCTCTCCTTCATGCGCTCCAACATGGGACCGACTACACTTTCGCGGAAGCGCGCGAAAGAGTTCATCATGCCCCTCGCCAGACCTTCCAGGCAGTTTGCGGCTGTCATGACACAATTGATGTTCGCGTCCTTTTGTATACATGTGGCGAGAGACTTCGCAAGGTCCCCGAGCTCTGGGGCCCCTTTGATGCGTGGCGTGTGGTTCAGCAAGGCCAAGAGCTCATCTAACACTCCTTTGCGCTCCTTCCATTTGGATGACGTGAGGCCCGCCTGTATGTTTGAAGGTAGTTTTGACACAACGTCTGCTTCCTCCGCGAGCATCCGGGGATCCACAGATGCCTCTGGTTCGAAGTATGAGCGTCGCGCACTGGCAAAGCGCATGATTACGCACCTTCCTCCTGCGGCGCGTCTTCGGTTCTGTCATCCCCACCAGCCATTTCTCGAGCCTCAGCATCTCGTGCAGCTGCTCTAGTCATGCGTTCAGGTTTGACAGAGCCCTTGCCCTTTCCCTCCTTCTCCATAGCCTCGAACGCCTCCTTCAGCTCCTTGACCTGCACAGGCTTAAGATCATTAAGGAACATCTCTATACCAGACCCAAGGTATTGATACAGAGTATGCGTCAACGTTGTCCCCTCTGCGCGAACTGTCTTGTCTGTATGCGAGAAGATCTTGGGGAGTGCCTTTAGTACTGGGGCAGGCGGTGTCGCTGAGGTACCAAAGCATCTGGAACATGCAAAGCCTTCTCAGTAAACAAGATTATACGCGTGTCAAATGGCCGCACCTGACAATCTCTTTGAGAGCGAGCACAGTGCCGGCCACGGTCTTGGGCTGCTTTGCTGCCAGACCGGGCAGGACATCTTCCTGCCAAGACGTCATGCAACTGGATAAGGCTGGGGCGAACGGCTGGACATACCACAACGCCTGCACCCCCATTCTCAACCTCGACATACTGCAGAGCAAGCTCCACGGCCTGATTTTTGGTTCCTGCTCTTGCTGATCCAAAGCATTTGTCCACGAGCGCGGGTACCACCACAGGTCTCGTCTGCGCCGCGTTCTCGCCCGCAAACTTTACGAAATTGACGACGGATTCAATCCCCTTCTCCTGCGCGACGGCGTTCGTATCTGTGACGATCTTCTTGAGTGTCTCGGGATTGCTCGTGTATGGCTTGAAGGCGGGATCGGTGTCGGACGCTGTGGTCTGGAAGGTCTTGATGAGTGTCTCGTATGCGCTGACGCGGGCCTTCCAATTTTTGTGCGCGAGCCGGTCAGCTATGGATAGTGTCGAAAAATCCTCCTCTTGAGGTGGAGGGCCGTCCATGCCCGTTTAAATTAAAGAGCGAAGCGGGACGAGAGAAGGGTTCGGTTCGAGAGCTGCTGCAGCGCTGCACGTCTCACACCGCTCTTGTGACGTGCACGTGATGCAACACGCCTGCGTTACCTCAGCCATCACGCGCACGCTCAATGCTCATCTTGACGCAAACCTCTCGCTCTGGGCAGGGCTTCGCAGACGGTGCTGACCACATACTGCACAAGTCAAAAGTATAACCGATAGCATCTCCCGTTATGCACAGCTTTCTCGGCATGCAAGGCAATGCGTACTAGATGCTCGCGAGATCGACCGAACAGATACAGAACCACTCGTCCCCGGCTCTCGTCCAGGCCGACTTCGCACCAGAACATATTCATGACCCTCGCAGCGCCGTAAACGTCTGCTCATTTGCATGAACCCCCTGCCCTACCCGCGCCCCGTCCCATACAATGTCCGGCAAGCCGCACTAGTGTCTGTTGACCGTGACCACGCTTTGGACACGCCTCAGCTCACGACGCCACAACGTGCCCCGAAGGTTTCCCGGGCTGTCCCGCGGCCACGGCACTCTACGTACAATTTTGCCCGTGTCCTTTGACCTTCGGATAATTTCTCGCACCGGTCTTCCAGCAGACTTTTATTCTACTGTATTGAATGACTGAATCGTCGGCTTGCGTATGCACGTCTGACCTCTGGGTGCATGTTACCATCTCGGTAGACCACCGGCAAAGTCCTTGCACTGTACTGGCAGCTCCGTGGCTGAGTTCACCTTTTGCGTCAGCCGGTAACTTACTTGGACCTCCGTTTTATCCTCGGGTATTTAGGCCAGGGACATATTCCTAACTTACTAAAGCTACGGAGCACTAGCGATGTACATACGATTCCGGGCGACCGCGATAGAAGAGTTACAGAGCATTATTATGTGGGCACAGATATACGAATACGACGAAATGGTCAAGATAAGAGCAGAACAGGTGCGAGCGCGGGATAGAGTCCGACTTTACGATAGCAATTACTACGACTCTAAGTTCATTAGTGCGAATAAAGATAGCTGAACTGAGAGCAGCGACGAAACAGCATAGGTGAAACGATAAAAAAAAAGCTTACAAGGCGAGCCGGTAGCAGCATGTGTCGAGATCCGTCTCCGTTACTCGTAGAGAGGCTCCATGAATCGCGGCAGGCCCAGCCGACCAAATTTTTGAAGGAAGTGCATTCGCTTCAGGTGCGAGGTGCAGGCTCGCATTTGAAAGCGATGCGAGTGTCGCTCGCTGCGCGCAGCAGCTGTCTGTGGTTGGCAGGCCCAAATATCCTGACCAGTTCCGATTCGTGTGCAGCGACCCAGTCGGCGGGCGGGAGGGCGCGTATGGTGCGGACAGCGCCGCCGGGCAGGTCCTCCTCCATGACGAGCTGGAACATGCCGGTGAGCAGGCATTGGAGGAGGTAGAGGAGGTCGCTGATTGGCCGGACGGTGTGTCTCAGAAGATGGAAAGTCCCGCTATGGAAAACCATTTCCCACTGCACGCGTCGGTCAGGCGCGAAGAATGTGGTCGCGTGTGCGGGGACGTAGAGGCGCAGGTTGGGGCGAAGCGGGAAACCGGGGTAGGGAGTCTCGATGTCAAAGAGAAGCTTGGCATCGGGAGGCTGCACGTCGCGCCAGCCGTGGTGCGCGACGAGCTCGTTCTTGATTCGGAGCATCCAGTCGCGCGCACGACGATAGTTCATTCCCAGCGCTTCTGCTGATGTCAGAGGAATTCCCGTGCGAGTTGCCCACTCGTCAATTTGGGCGACGTTGCTGCAGAAGAACACTTCTGGACTTGATGTCGGCATAGCGGGATTGGCGGGAGGCACAACGGTACTGGAATAGTCTTCTGGAACGTCTGACGGCCTGCAGGCGGACATGTGTGAGCCAGGGTGAGCAAGACGAAGCGTGGTGGCGACAGCGAGGCCGTGATCGACATGCCTCACCTGAGCTTGAGCTTGTAAGCTGATATGCGTGACGCAGTGGGTGTGTGCTCGTCGGCTGTTGCTCGTGATGTGCTCTGCGACGATTAGGAGAGAGATGGGAGCAAGACCATTATTTTGCGGGCTTTTTGGGGAACGGAGAGGTTGTGCCTGGGACACAAATCGGTCCTGGCGGGTTGCGATGCTTCCGGCGTCGGCCTCATTTGGGTTGAACCGGGTTTGTACGCGGCGCAAACACGGAACGTGTTTCGACGCCGAAGGGAGGTAATTTTTACATCTAAGTCCATATGTGGTCCTTGATCAATTCTCGAACGGAGTCCTCGAGGCGGAGAATGAACTGTGCGAATATTCGCACGAGCCCCGACGGCTGCTACTGGCAAACATCCAAGCGGAGCGTGGAATAAACGCCTCGCTGAATTGCTCGATATAGAATTTGAGCTAATGTTCGGCCCGTAGCGCTCGGTCCCGAGTCTCGGTTAGTCGATTCTCACGGAGGCAAGTCCCTGGTCGATGACGTGCAGGCTTGTGTCAGTCGGGCGCGGCCGCCCTAGTCTCCTTGGCGACGATCCCGGCCAGCGAGCAACATGTCCTTTCTGGGACAAAAGCCCGCCACACCGCCGCCGCCGAGAATCTCGGGTCGGACAAGAGCCGACATAAATAAACAAGGCATCCTGCTTCACGCTGACGACGGTGTCCATGGCATGGTGACATTTACGTGCGGGGGGTGTCTTGTGCGGAGCATCAGCGGACCGCGCCACCGCTGGACTTGGGCTAACCCTGCACACTGTAGCTATGGTATCTCCGCCAGGTCGAGTTTAGACTGCGCACGGCGAAACAACGTAACGTATGAAATTCCACGCCAGACAACATTCCGCTAACACGCCGACAGTTTCGGACGTCAGTCCCGCGCGAACAGCGGCTCCCGCGAGTCTGAGCACGGGGCTGTTTCGGCCAGCGAAGAGAGAAGGGAGCCGACGCGGTATCTGGGTGCATATGGACCCCTGTGGACCACTATGTACGACTGGAGGCTCATTTATCGGATAGATCTATTTCCCAGCCGGCTGCCTGCAGTGGTCGAACACCCCTGAAGGCACAGATGCTTACACTGATCTGGAAAGGCTTCCGCACTGTGGCGCATTAGGCAATCGGCGATCTTGTGAACAATAAGTCAACGTGCCTGCGTCCAAATACCCTAGCGCGGCCTGCGAGGCGTCCGCCACCTGCCAGGATATAGCTGTCTTCATTAGCAGAGCCCTGACACGTAAACGATGCCGGGACTACGTCGGTGTGAGCCCTGCGCTTTCGAACGACATCCGTTGCCGCTCTGGGAAAGCGGTGCAGCGAAGCGCGCAGATCTGATCGGCAGTGTGACCAATCTGTCACGCATTCCACCGAGTCACGTACCGCTGCGAGATCACTGCTTGCCACGATCTGGCCGTTGTGGCCACAATCAGGAGCTCCGTACACAAGGTAAACACTATACAAAAGCCATTCATTTATCTTCAAGGACATAGAACCTTCAGCTTACAACTACAATGACTTTCTAGAATCGCTCAAAGGGGATAAATCTCTGTGTCATCCAGCTATGGCTAGATCACGAGTACTCGACGCCGTCGTCGGCCTGTACAGGGAAAATCTGGCAGACCCGAACGTGGGTTAGTTCCTCTCTATGACGATAGGGGTTGACTCATGCGTTGTTGCTGGTCTAGATTTCTGAGCACTTGGCGGCTATACGTACCCTGACTGACCTATTGGACATCTCTGAGGGTCAGTTGCTGCCTAGACCTCCTATCGCGACTATTTATAAGGACCCTACAGCCGAGACCACAGCAGAGCTTTTCCAAGAGCTCAGGGATGCGAGTGAAGAGCTTAAGCGTCGCTTGACTAACCATCTTTGCGCCACCGTGGGATGCGATCTTTTTCTAGCCTTCATAACGCTGTTTCCCCATGCGGCGGACGTGAGTATAAGCGTTTCAATGAAGTTCATGCGGCCCTGGATTCATGTTGATCCTCTTCAGACCGTACCCGGGCTGAAAAAGGAGCTCCAGACAGAGGGTCGAAAATACATTGCCTCGGCCATGGGGTACCGCGACAAGATCGCCGAGTCCGTATTGGACTTCATCAAGGACGACTCGATCGTAAGTGCTCACGCGGACCCTTGCTGAAAGGCCTTTGACGACATGGGCTTTCGTCTAGATCCTAACACACTCGTACTCGCGCGTGGTGATGACCGCTCTCCTGCACGCGCACAAGACGAAGCGCATATCAGTATACGTCACCGAAGCTCGTCCCAACGGCCGCGGGTACGCCTTCATGTTTATGATTCATAGGGTGTCTGACGAATGGGTCACAGGTTGAGGACCTACGCGGAACTCATCGAGGCCGGTATCCCTTGCACGGTCGTTCTAGATTCCGCTGTGGCCTATGTCATGGACCGCGTCGATTTCGTCCTCGTGGGATCAGAAGCTGTGGTCGAGAGTGGTGGGCTGATCAACGCCGTGGGTAGCAATCAGATTGCCATCCTCGCTCACGCCGCGCGCAAGCCCTTCTACGCGTTGGCCGAGAGGTACGTTTCCTAGCGCGCATCCGGCTTTAGCATCATCTCACCGACCTATCCGGAAGCTTTAAGTTTCATCGTCATTTCCCCCTTTCGCAATATGACCTGCCCACCCATACGCCGAGCATATTATCTTTCCCTGTGCTCACTCCACTAAACCCGGAAGCGCACGATCAAGATTCCGGCACTTCTCCCGAAAATCCTCCTTCGTCCGGCGATGGCAAGTATCTTTCTGAGATACTGCTGCGAGCGGCGAGAGAGAGGGTAATGACCATGATCCAACTGGAATGTAATCCTCGAGTGGACTACACTCGGTAGGCCGTGGCTTTTTCACGTGGCGCCCGCGCTCTGACAGGAATCTTACGCGTACAGCCCAGATCTGATCTCCCTTGTGTTCTCGGACGTAGGGATCTTAACGCCAGAAGTAAGTAGACTCGGCGCTGCGAACTTCGTGCTGATTGCTGACGTCGTTGTCGGTGACGACAGGGAGTGAGCCAGTACTTGGTGGGGATGTTCGCAGCATGACGGAAGAATCTTGCATGATGGCTTTCCGAAAGATCTCGATAGAGTTCGCGATAACCTTCTTGAGTTCTCTGCCCTGAGGCAGACCAGTTCATCCACGTGCGACGCCATTTGGCCGCCATCTGTTGCGCGTCGGCTCGACTGATCTGCATGAGCAACTAGCCATGCCCCGCCTGGGGAAAATAGCTCATGAATGCCGTACCTATTCGCGCCTTGATACACGCGGCCGACGATGAGCAGCCCCTTTCGCCTTCCCGCGGGAACGTACCTAAACGGTACCCCTGGGGAGTGCCGTGCGCGAGTTGATCGATAACATCGCAATCTCGCCCCGCGAACGCGAGGCTCCCGAGGACGACTCCGAAACCATGAGCCTATCCCCACGCCATGACGGCGCGACGGACAAAACATTCCCTTTCAAGGCTATCTACGAAGGTCAGGTCCTATTTGCTATGACGCTCGATTGAGGAGCTTCACGGCCTCTTGTGAAGCCTGCGGCGGGCAGCGACACCGTTCGCAGACTGCTCAAGATCCGCAAATCACAAGCGCGCCCCCAGCTGGAAAACCCATTAGCCTGAAATTCGCGGACTCTTTCCAAAGAGCGAATTTGACGTCCGGGGCGTGCTGGTGCCCTTCCGAGGGAGGTTTCCGTACGCGCTAGCCCGCGATATCGACTGTTTGAGCGGCTTAGCATGTCCGACGCTGCGTCAGCTTGGGATTTAACGTTTTAGCTTTGAGATCTCGAAGTCAGCGTGATACGGACAAAATGACCCGGACAGGAGGGCACAAGCCCCGATCACTCCTCGATAACACTTTCTACGAGGACGCAGACTTCGTCCTCCTCGTGTAAGCAAACACCATACTCCGACGCGCCCATCTCGATTTGCTGGAACAGGACACGAACGTTGGGGACGGCCCGATGGATGATGTTATCGAAAAGAGCCCCGGCTGGCAGACCAGTTTATGTTCCAGAATTTTATATAGCGACCGACTTATTTTGTCGGGCTACTCTGGAGCCTATAAAAGCGACTGGCGATGGCTGGGTCGTCAGTCACGCTCCCAATCCTTCGCTTTCCTGTACATACCTTTTCTCCTATACCTACTTTGTTCTTCATGTGTCACTGGCGGCGGTGAGGCATATCCGCCCATTGACCCCGGGACGCCACCCATTGACTTCCCGGCTTCTCCCAGCATCCGAAACCACTACAAGCGCTGCGGCCACTATCTTGACCTCGTACGCACCTCCTCTCCGCACTTCCCACCGCTGTCTGACGTAGCTTTCTGCAGCCCGACGAACTGGTGAGACCATACCGTACTCGCGCCACCGACGCAGCAGCACTCATCAAATCATTGTAGGACCAATGTGATGACCGGTACTGCAAGTTCAGCACCTGCCACCCGAGCAACTGTGTGCCGCCGCGCTGCACCGATACCTGCTGGCAGTAGTGCGTCGCGTCTGCTTTTCCGCTTGCACGCAGCCGACTAACGACATGCCTTCAGCCGACAGTTTCCAGAGTCGATTAGTGAGGCTCACCCAGACCGTTCGGTTTGTGGGGACGCGACTGACGTCACGACAGGTCCGGTCATAGACGACTACTGCCCGTCCTGCATTGCAGCCGGCCGCCAGCCTACCGGTGCCGCCTCGAAGTACGCGAACGTCAAATTCCCGCCCCCATGATCTTCTCCCTGTATTTTGTGCTTACCCTCGCCGTTCGTGTTTGTATCCCGTATACTTGCCCTCTCCCACCTCCGTAGACGCATTGAGAACGACTCGCGCCGTATAACGTTATGTAGAGCTCACCCTTTCGTCATATGTATCCGAGCCATGCTTTCGGTATAGTAGATTGTAATGTGATCGTCCTTCTTCAAAACCATGCTGCCCTGCACGCCGACTGAATTGGCTGCAAGTATTTGTGCGCGCCTGACCTGAGATGATCTTCGACCCACGAAATTGCTCGGCCGTCTTGTCCAGGCCTCTACCCGGAGTGAGCCTGCACGGTTACAAAGCTTAAAAGCCTGCCCATGAGAGCACCGCCCGCGTCATCGGCAGCCGAGGCCTGAAAACGGGAGCGATAACAGGGTTGTTTCCTCGCGGATGTGGTGGGCGACGGCAGAGGTGGAGGGAAGCTGTGCTTACAGATATGAGAGACAGGCTGTGACCGGGTAGATGTGAACGGTGATTACAGCCTTCTAGCCGGATAATGTAAAATTAATTATGGGCAGCAAGGCCGCAAGATAAGACATAGCGGGTGGGAGGCTATAGAAAACGCCTGAGGGCAGACACGTGCGGGGGCAATAAGCCTGGAGAGTGGAGCGAGCTGCAGGCCGGCCTGATTCAAACCTTATGCCAAGGAAATTACAAGAGGGAGACAACCAGGCTGTGTGGGAGAAATCCACACAGGCCGCACAACGGTGAGACCGGGACGAAGGATAGGGTCTACATTGTTCTCTCGCTAGCACCAGCGGATAGCGGCTGAGTGGTCAGCTTCGCGCCTATCCGGAGATTCGCATAGCTATTTACCGAAACCCGTCGTGCCCGAGGACCACTACCGCTGTATGGCCATGCAGCGGCGGGATTCCCGCGTAACGGCAGCGTGCACGAGCTTCATGATTACCCGCCGGAACTAAAAACGGTAGCGACATTGCTTGGAACGGAGACGAGAGGCGAGGGTCGCGGGGAGTTCTGGAATAGATGAGATCTTGCTAGGCCGATCTGAGAGACGATACCGAACGTACCGCCGTATCGTACCGCGATGTCGCCATAGAGCGAAGCCGAGCCGTGACAACTGCCAGAAGGAATATCAGATGACCAGGACGATAAGAGTAGCTTTGCGGAGCTCACTACCGCAGAAAACGGTCGTTCCGAAACACGCCTCGTTCATAATGCTTCTCCAAGCATCAGATGATAATTGTGTGGAAGTAGAACGCCAAATCCAGCATGGCCATCAGTAGTAAATGGATACATTACAACTGGGTGCCCTGACCGGAGGAACAGTGGCAGAATGGCCCGCAACGGACATGAGGGATGTCGGGACCAGGAAGCGCGTCAGAGGCGACTGGATGTTGCTAGAAGCAACGCCATAAGAGCGTCTTGACTATTTTGAAGACCGAGGAGCATCGTGGGCGCGTCCCAGCCTTTACTCACCGCAGTCGCTTCCACATGGTGGGGACTGTCATGCCGACCGTGTGCTGGCGACCGGGCTCGAACATGGCCAGTGACCATCGCCCGCGGTGGCGCAGTCTACGTTCAGAGGGTGAACGAGTTCCTCCAGCGGCGCTTTTACCCTCGGACGCGTTCACAGATCTGACGAGGGCAGGCAGGACATGCGGACCGAGCAGGAAGCTGCGGTCGATGTCTCATCAGTGTGCGCTGAACGGCCAGGAATAGGCAGGGTGCGGTCGCGGACCTGCTAGGAGAAGAGAGGGGTGAAGATGGCGCGGACGATGCTGGGCCAGCGAGGGCGTACCAACTTGGATGCCTTGATTTGGGCATGCAGCGAGGTGCTGGTCGCAGGCAACGGGGAGAAGCGTTACGTTACGACCTCGGGGGGACTCAATTGGCCCCGGAACTCTTTCGTCCCCACATTTCGTGCCTTTCTTGCACGTGAATCACCCGGCGATCGTCCGTTTCGGTACGCCTCTCTTCTCCGCAGACCACCATCACCACACCTCCGCGCCGACGAAGGCGATGTATCATCCAGGGTGCGGCCTAACCTCTCCATCTCTCCAGTGCCTGCTCGCCCTCACCGGCGTCCCGCAGGCCCAGCGCGGCGTACACAGACATTTACACCGATCTCCCACCTATCAACGTGAGCGCCGAGCTTCTCTCCCAGCACCGCCCGGGCGCGACTGAGCTGCATTAAGAACCAACGTGTCAGGCTCAACAGCGAGACCCCGTTCACACCCGAGTATGTCAAGGATAACCTGTCGCGCTCTGTAGACGGCGCGCAGGTGTACGCGAGCCGCGTCAAAGGGCGCCAGATTTTGCTAGACCAGCCCGTCCGCGAAAACAAGCCGAAAAAGGAGCGAGAGGAGAAGAAAGCAAGGCGTGCCGCCAGCAGCAAAAGGTCCGACGCGGACGTTGTAGCTAACAGCACCACCCGACGCAAAGGGCTGCACTGTGGTCTGCCGTCGGAAAGAAGGCACGTCCCACGTCTTTGCTTTTCGCACGTCCACGAGCCGATAGGAACACTCTTGACCCCGGCGCCGATAAGATTCGAGCTCTTCGTTGCTCTGCACAACGTCTGGATGGGGTACATGTCGGAGCTGCTCAATCTGCCCCCCGCTGACTCCGGATCGACGCAGCATGCTCAGACGCAGGCAGCGGGCATGCATGCAAAGCTGATCAAGGCTGCCTTTGAAGGAGCGATGATCGCAGGTACGGCTCGAGGCGTCCCGCCTTCTGTGTGCTAACTGCGTTTGTGCACCTCAGTCAAGCAGAGCAAGAACGCGTCGCTCGTAGGCTTGACCGGCATCGTCATCCTTGAGACCGAGAACGCGTTCAAAATTATCACCCCAAAGGATCAACTCAAGCGTACGTCCGCGCCCAGACGTCGCAGGGTCCGTTCTGACTTGCGTCACCAGTCATCCCGAAGAGGAATTCCGTCTTTGCATTTTCCGTTCCCCTCTACGCAACAACCACCCCGGTCTCGAATCCTCCTGCGTCCAGCCCCGCCTCTGTACCATCGGAACAGGACATGACGTCGCAGGTTCCTCCGACACGCACGGTCCTAGATCTCCCGCGGATTGAACTAGAGCTTTACGGGAACCAGTTCTGCTTCCGTGCTGCAGATCGCGCGAGTCGGAAATTCAAGCACAAGGAAACCATCGAGCTGTAGAGTGAGAGACCTCTGTCCAGGCGGACGATACATTACCATGCTCTGACGCACCTCATTACGCGGTGCCCGCATGTTGCAGATCGCTGACGGCGCTGCCAACCGAACGATTCATATTTGTTCCGTACGATGATACGGTGTGAAGAAGCGAGAATTCTAGATAACATTGCGACACAGCGAAAAAGACAGCTACACAGCGACAGAGAAAGCATGGTGCAAGTAAAGGCGGCGTCAGGTACTGGCTAGCTGACATTCGACCTTTGTGGGGGTTCTTCCGGAGTAGGAGCCTCCCCTCCAATAGGTACCCAGCCTTTCGTTGTGGATCTAGACAATTTCGAAATCTCGTTCGCAACCGCGTCTGCTTTCTCAGCTGAAGGAGCTTCCGTCTGCTCCGGTTGCGAATGGGCTCTCTGAGCACCTTGCGCCATCGCTGTAAACGGCTGATACAGCTTTCCCCTACGGGTCACCGGATCAGGGGTTGCAATCTATGAACGGTCAGAGGTTCATTCCCAGCTCGGAAAACGAGCGAGCTCACTCCTGCAATAGGTGTTACCCATTCCACGGATCCCCTTGTGTCCTGAGCCGCGTAGAACTCGAGGAGTATGGTCAATGCCTCTAAAATACTCTTCTCAGTCAGCGTGCAAAGGCAAGCGCTCGCTATAATTACCGGATAGTGAGGCCAGCTCCATTTCATTGAACTTGAAGAAATCAACGGCAAAGCGAGCAGACTCGGGATAAGAAGGCTTGTGAGATGGAGGGGTGGGAAGCGAGGCGGAAGGTGCGGGCGACGCAATCCTTGCGGCCAATGATAGGCCACTCGGCTTGTCTAGATATTGCTGAGCGAGGATGTAGCACGCCGCTGCAATGATCCGCGAGGGGTAAAGGACACATAAAGGCGTGCGATAACTGAGAGGATCACGTTCGTCTCATGAGAAATTTATCACGGGAAGCACGGCGCTTACGAGTCATTGGCAATCGACCAGGCGTATTCTTCGACATCAACGGCCTCCGGTTGAGCGTCGAAGAGGTCCACGAGGTCTGACTGCGGGGTGGGGACAATGAAGTCGAAGCACAGTGCCTCTAACAGCACCTCTTCCGTCAATAAAATGGCGGCTTGGCTTTCTACCACTTCCTAAGCGTAAAATTGAGATGTCGTTTAGTCCCCCACATTTACGCGTCCCACCTTGCTGTCGTCCGCAAATTCATCCACGTTCTTCCTGCCGTAGACCTTGGCACAGTATACCTTCGCGACGTCCCTGAGCTTTCGACCACATTCCTCCGTCTTTGTCGCCAAGAAAATACACGCCGCTGCAACATCCTGCGTTCGACACATGAAGAATCCAGGAAACTAGAAGCAACGGTGTAACTTACCTGTCTGTGGTAATCTTCCATGGAGTACCTCATGTAGAAGCGGTGGAACCACGTAGCCGCAGTGTACATGGCAGACGACGGCCTGTGCTTTTCACGTAAAGGATATGGCACATTGCATGAATGTGTAGGCGGAGGACGTACAAGACAAGGGTTACCCCTAGGCGAAACAGAAACTCCACCCCTCGTGCACGGTCATACAGCTCCTTCTCGACGGAGATGGAAGACGTCGTACGGCTCGGCGTTGAGTCCACGATAGCTGAGACAGGGAATAGCCACTGTGAGATGCCCGTAGCGGCCATGACGATCAGGAGGTCGCGTTCGACGATCGCAGCGGTCTCAACCTCGAGTTAGCTTGAAGGCAAATTGCTTGGAGAAAGGCGTGCCCTACCAGGCGGTGCTCCGCGACCTTCGAGGAGGACAGGAGCGGCGGAACGACGCAGAGGGTTTGGGAGATGAACGTGTACGATGAGGCAAGAGCAAACCGCGTCCAAGGTAAACTGGCCGCGAGGCGCCCATTCGAGGATTGAGCAGCGCGCAGCCGCAGAACGGCACAAACGCACCGGAAGACCCTGTCCCCGCAGGCGTTCGTCCTGCTGCGGTACGTCGGAGGTTCTACAATCGCGGAAAACCGCGTACTCAGCGCACGGCATTATGTACATCGTACGTCAAATCTACGTTACAGCCCAAGTTCCGTCCTGCCGTCCTGCTACAGATCTACTATGTAGTGCATGAGGAGCACCGAGTCCCTAGCGGGCTGCCATTTTTGTGACACTCTGTCCCAGCGGAACCGTAACCCAATCGTTCGTTCTCGATGGGTAGAGATGTTCGAAGTCATCGGAACGCATAGATGTAGCAGCGGAAGATACCGTATGCGCCGAGAATGCTGCTTCAGACATTGCGTCGTAGGTTCGAGGGAGATGCTCTTGCCATGCCGAAACCTTTTGCATGAGCGTTTGAGCTGGTGTTGCGTCCGGCAACGACGGGGGGACGGGTTCCTCGATACTAGTCGCCGAAATAGCCATGCCAAGGAGGGTGGAGACTTCTGCCTCTTCTACTTCCCGGTCAACGTCGTCATCTATATAAAGTGCAAGTCTATTAAGGGGTTGCGGCCATCATGACACGTTCGGTCCACTTACTGACGGACCAATCCGACTCTGATCGAGGCGGTTCGGGGAAACGGTCATATGGGAATGGTGGTATCTCGAGGTCTTGCGAGACTTCCGACACCAACTCAACTACCTATCGATGCAATGTTATTGTCAACAACCCGGCGCAGGAGATTATATGGAACAAAAACGGAACAGCTTAGAGCATCTGCTGGTCTTCGGTTGGCAGTGCCACACAGGTGAAGAGTTGAACAAATAGTCAGCAACTCACATTGGGGAGTGTAAAGGCGCCGGGTAGATCCATGGACGAAGCAAGCCAGTAAGTCAGCGTTCCCAGCACATTGGGCTCGCGCTGGCGGAACGACCTCGGGTCCGATATGAAACCCCTCGTACGGCCTGGTCGAACACAGGTTAAAACACAGGTTAAAACAGGATTACGTTTCCGAGTGACGGACAAACCGGGAGAGAATGCCCCAAAGGCCCATGTGTTGTAGGAAGTAATCACGAACCAGCGGCATCCCCTGCGAGTACAGAGGTCCCAAATCTAGTCAGTCATGAAATGAGTTAGATGACTCAAGGACGACTATGGCTACACAGTACGGACCTTCGCCCACAGACGTTCACAAGCTTTCCACCGGGGGTCAGAATCTTCCGGGAACCGACGGCGGTGGAGCTGAAAAAAAGTTCGATGAGCTATTCTGATGTCTAGATCATATGCGTAGACCCGAGACCTTTCGACATTTGGTCATCGCCGCGAGGTCGGCGGGAGGCGCTATCCATGGAGGCATAATCATCACAGCGAGAGTCGTATTCAACACCTGCTTCTGCCGATTCCTCGCCTCCCAAGTGTAAAATGATACAATCTCCTCGTCCGGGTCGCGAGCGGTGTCAGGTTGAAATGCCCAGCACCTGGTCTCAGGAAAGGCAAAATGAAGGAGTCTTTGAGCGGTCGCAAGAGGATATTGTACAGCCCAGTGGCGAACTCTAATCCAGCATATTCGTGAGGGAGTATTGAGGCAGGAGAAGAGACCAGGCTTACGCGTCATTATCGACGCCTTGGCCAAGGAGTACTGTTCCGGTCTGATAAGGCTTGCATGGTACCGAGAGCCATTCGCCTGTGATGTAGTCTGGTTCAGGAATTATGACAGGTTCCGCGGGCATATATGTAGCTATGACTGAGGGGGAGAACGATGAACATCAGTCTTCGAGGTGACTCGTCCAAGAGAGTATAGACTCGCGCACATGATAAGACATCGTCGCTCAGTTCTTCAGGAAACAAAGGCTCCATATATTGCAGTATGCGCCAGAGGGTGAACCCAACAGACAAGTGGATCGCATGGCTTCTGCGGTCTGGCGGCGGCATCTTCGCTATATTCGGACCCATATCCATCACCGGCAACTCAGCCCGTCGCACATACTCTCGCAAGTTGTGCGTCCCTCGTTTGCGGCCCACTACGCTGAGCTTGAGGTGGCGTCCTTTGTGAGTTCTGCGCTCTTCACGATACTGGTGGTAGTATGGCTCAATGTCACCAGGTTGCATTCTGGCTGGTGACCAGCAGATCGTAAAGGAGGTAGAGCGTTGGAAGTGTGACTAGGATCCTGGAAGCAAAAGCTCATGCTATATCGTTGCTAAGTACAAGGAAGTCAATGAGGATGGACATCGTTGAGGGCAATGACAAGGCTGTTGCCATCGGCGGCGGACTCAAGGATCGAACTCAAGGACTGCCGGAATCGTCACATACACCCCGGCTTACGTGATGAGCGGCTATGCGGCAGCAACTTCGAGGTGGAAAATGCGGCAAGAAGTTGGTGCATGCAAATGTACATAATTACATGGGAGACATAATAGATGCATATTACAGTACGAGAGGCAAAGTCCACGAGGGATATAGCGAATAAATTAACTCCTAGTACGTCGCAAAGTTCGTCTCGGTTCGATGAAGGGAAAGCGCCAGCGCCGTAGAGCACAAAGCAGAGGAATTCGGCTATTGAACAATCACGTTCGAGGGTGAACTAGATGATTACAGGCCGCGATACACGTCGATCTGCGAGATGGGCTTGATGAGGTCCAGCTTAAGCATAGCCGACCATACCGCTCTCGCGCTCGCGCATGAGGCAGTCTGCGCATTTGGTCTCGCTGATCCTGATTGGATTGCGCTGCGGCACAGTCATCAACCGCTGGCAGGCGGAGGACTTACAACCTAGATCGCCGGGGCGTTATAAGGCGATCAGATGGATTAACCGAGCGGCGCAGTGCGTACCTGTCGGGTGTGCGTGGCGCGAACTGAACAGACAGTCAGGCCTCAAGCAGTCTTGCGTGCGACTAGACATCGGGATGAAGTGACCGCACACAGTGTGGAAGCGACCGTCCTGGATCTACATGGACAAGGGATGAGCAAACACCGAACAGATCAGGGTACGAGACTCACACTATGGCACATATTAGTGAGTAACAAGTGGTTGGAATAGATATAGATATAGAAGTAATGTAAGTATGGTACAAGTGGTGGTAGTGGTGGTGGTTGGGATGAACAGAAGAGCAGAGCAGTCCTGTTTATATATGTGAGAGGAATGTGCATCAGAGGAAGAAGGTGAGGCACAGCGTTTGGGCAACAGTGATTGTATGGGGACCACATTCAAGCCCAAATTTTCGGCGGACCTAGGCAGCACGGTGTGGGGCCCCTCGCTACACCCATACCGCATCTAGGGCAAGCTAACAAATTCGAGCAGCCTCGCGTGAAACCATGAATCTCCCTCCAGGCGATCGGTGGGTTCGGTGATGGGGCGGTTATGGGTGCGTCTTCCCGTTCCAAACTGGGCGGGTCGGGACGCTCTAAAGTTGCCTTGCGGCCAGGGGAGAGAGCAATGACTTGGAAAGGCAATCATGTCCTCGCCACCATCACGAGGAGCATGAAATTGTAGCGTTCACTGTCTACCTCAGGTATCCAGGCGCTTAGTTCGACTGCGAAATATCAATCAAAATTCCCTCGGTCCCTCGCGCTGAGCGCATGGAGCAGGGGGCGTGGTGAGGGCGTGCACAATCTGCAGCCGTTTGCGCCAAACACGTCTTGCACGAAGCCGAACTTGGACCTGCAAGCGAAGGAAACTCGGCGCGTCATGGGCGTTTACATGAGCTTAAAGAGAAGACTTTACTGCATGCTCCTTAGATTGGCCTCCGAATCTTACGGTCCCTCCGTTATGAACGAGCAGGCCCTGGTTGCGAATGCTTCTGCGATCTAGGCGTGGTCGTACTTTGGCAAAACTGTCACGGAACTCAGATCTCCCAGCATGCGCTGGCAAGGGAATAAGTAATGCAGCAAGTGCCGTAAGAAGAGAATCTATTCATGCGCCGCGCGCACGGATCTCCTTCACAATCTGCACCTTCATTCTCACCTGCCATGGGCTCAGTACGCTGAGTATGTTTAACACCGCACGGAACATACCTCATGGGCGAAGCTCCTTCTCCAGCGCTGGCTTTCAATTCGCCGCCGCTTGTAACCCTTCTTCTCGTGGCGTGCTTGAAGCCTGACCTCTCGAGCCACATTGTTGTACCTGATGATTGACCGAAGCCTCCCTAATGCTTGACTCACTGGAGTCTGTCTATTGACATGCCAGCTCCGACCTACAGACAACAAAATCTAAAGATCGTCATCAGCAGCTTGAAAGAGCACGAACCGATGAAAGGGCCGTTTGGGCGAGGGAGGTTCTTCACAGTTGGTTCGCGGCTTGCCCAGATCTCTTCAGGTGTTTTCGCACTTGTTTTAACAGCTTCTTTGAAAGGTTTCCACGAACCGTGCTCGCCCACTGCAGGACTCGGGTTGGAACGTAGATTGAGTCGCGAGAGCTGAAGCGTGCCAGTCGGAGGCTGCGTTGAGACTGTCCGCTTGCCCGCCAGGACTAGTGGTGCATTAACCGCGGGCCGGAGGTTACGGAGTACACCCTGTGAGTAATGAGACAGTGTAGCCAGCATCTTGCTACGGCTACGGCGGGCGGCGAGCCTTGGATGGAATACAGACCGACGAACCGTCGGTGGATGTGGTCGGACAGCGGAAAGCGTGAACGCGCCTGAAGCGCCCAAAATTGTGGTGGGACCCCGAGCATCGCGCTTCATCCGCTACGCCTTCCTCCTCCATGGCTTCAGAGATTCTGGCAGAAGAATTCGAGGTAGAGCAAACGTTATATCTATACGAAGTGATCTATCGACGCACATACACAGGTCCTCGAGTCGATATATCCCACAGAACTCTCTAGTTCGTTCCCGCCCACCTCTGCAATGCCCATCTAGCTGAGTGCATGCAAAGAAATATCCGAAAATGAGGTTCGCATAGAGGTCGAGCCAGAAGAAGTGGAAGAAGGCATAGAACCTGGTAACAACCACACCTGAGAGGAGAGCGTCGGAGCTGATGGAGGTCGCAGTGAAACTGACCCTCGATGTCCGATATCCTGATAACTACCCAGACACACTGCCAGAGCTCTCTCTAGAACCTCTAGAAGGCGAAGTAGATGACAGTGAGATTGAGCATCTCATCTCAGAGCTCCACAAAGTGGTAAGTTTCCATGAGGATATTTTTCCACCTTGAGAGCTTCACTCATACGTCGGAAGGGAGAAGAGAATCTGGGCATGGCCATGACTTTTACATTAGTATCCCACCTACGTGAACAGCTTGTTGCATTGGTCCGTGATAGATCTGAAAGACAACGGAAAGAAGAGATGGAGAAGGAACGACTGGCTCTCGAAGTATGTCCTTCGCTCCTTCGTTGACGTGCTCGCGTTAATATCCACCTCCTGCAGGTCGAGGAAGCAAAAACACGCGGTACAGCGGTCACTCACGACTCCTTCTCTGCTTGGAAAGCGAAGTTTGATAAGGAGGCGGCCGAGAAGAAAGCTCGTGAGGACGAGGAGAAGATGAAGGGAATGATCCCTAAGGAGCGAGAAGAGTATAAGAAGCTTGCCACCAGGCTGACCGGTCGGTTTCCAAGACATCACCGTTTAATCGCCGCTAAGTTTCAGGCTCTGTAGGCCGTCAGCTCTTCGAGCGTAACCGGGACCTTGCTGCTTCGGACGACAATCTCGTCGAAGAAGGAACGGTCTCTATCGATGCCAGCCAGTATGAGAGAGAAACCAGGGAAGAGGAGGAAGATGAGAATCAAGTCACTTTCAGCGATAGCGAGTAATCGCAGAGAGATAATAAACCTTGTAGCACGGCACTGTATTTCTACGATCGTGAATATGACAGATTGAGTGAAGATACGGTGTATTCTAGAAATTTGTTGCTTCGACCGATTAGCGTTACAGTCCGGCCAGGAGGCCTTCTTCGCCTTCCGCTCCGATGATCTTTCCGCCTTTCGAGTCTACGCGGCATCCTATATCGTCCCTTCCTACCTGCATGATCCAGCCGTCTTTCTTTTGCAAGGGTCTAGGGTGTCGTTCAGGTAGGACGACATCCTCACCCATGGTTTTCAGCCATTCGAGTACGGGTCTACGGATCCACCTCCGCGGCTGCGCTGGTCTTGACCCTTCCTCGAACCAACCAAGGTGTCCGCCACCCTTCGTGACCCCAAATACGATCCAGGGGTTCAATTGCTCCGGCCCCTCATCCACGGGCAGAACAGAGATGAGCGGATCGTCGCCCGTGTTCAACACTAAGCACGGCACCTGTACCTCGCTCAGTACATGGTGGCTGGACGCCCAGATGTAGTAATCATTGGCAGAGCGGAATGGGAACGGCGGGGACGATCCTCCGGCGATGCAGGTGATGGTATCATCAAACGTATAGAGCCTGGGACGGGACTGTTGCAGCAAGTCTGGGATGCGCTTCGACACCTCCGCTTCGGGGTGGGCCTCGAATGTGGCGAGGTGTTTTCGAAGTAGGTTCTTGAGGTTGGTGCCCAGTGCCTTCGAGTACAACTCGCGCCCCAACCAGGTCGCACCCAGCCTACAGCTCCAATGTCACCGTCTGTTAATGCGCCACAAGTTAGAGGGGCTTACCTATTACTGTTCGCTAGCAGGTCCCACGGCTACGGAACTTCGTATGTGAGAGACGTTTATGCCATTAGGAGAGAACACGCACACATCCAATCATACACGCCGCCATAAGTCTGCTCTGGTCGCCCTCTTGCGCGAGGTAGCGTGTGAGGACGTTCGCACCCAGGGAGAACCCTATGCCTAATAATGGCGCTTCTGGGTATATCGACGCGATATAAAGCAGGGCGGTCCGGATGTCGTCAGTATGGCCTGCCGAGTATAGTTGTGGGGTGGTGAGGGGAACGCCTGCACCTGTCGAAATGAACATTATATGAGTACTAGTGCAACATACGAAACACACGCAGGCGCGGCGAGACAGCACTGTGCCTTGTCGATAGGGCAATCCAGCGTGATAGTTTACACTGAAGTTAACTCATCGTGCGATACACGCGCCGAGCCGCCCAGATAAAGGAAGGCCTTGTGGCGTGTTGATCACTAGTACTATTTGAGGGCGGATTGCCTCCGCCACATGGTCCCCGGGTACTCACAGCCTCGATAATTTACCACGACGGCGCGATAGCCCAGACCGCCTTGCTCCGGAGGCGCGCAAGCGGGGGCTAATATTGCGCGCACGTAGGACTCGTGCGAGCCTGCATGCGCAGCGGAAGTGAGCGATCAGGCATCTCGCAAGTGAGGCATAAACGGGGCAATCACCTCCGGTCAGGCCATGTAATACAACAATTACGGGCGTGTTCTCCTTGATATGTGGTTGTGACCCATTTGGAGCGAAGTCCAAGCCTCTATTGCGCCCGAGTCAGTGGTGGTCACGTCAAGGTGATCTTCGCAAAGGGCTCACATTGTACCCCCGTCTATAGTCCGTAGCAATGTTCTGCATACATGCCAATCATGAGAGGTAAGCCACATTAAGACTGTGTATGAAGACAAGCCCACCGTTCATAATCGACCTTGTCCACCTGAGAGAAATCACCAATTGTGCAGTACACAGTCTGCAAATGGCCACTAAAGCATCCGATTTGGACATAGCACACATAAACAGGTGTACTCTGGGCACTCACTTGGGCAGCCACCATGCAGGGCGGAAGGCATCATGCAGACTTGGACAACGTCGCTCAACCAGTTCCCTCAAGCTGACCTGCTCTGTGTCGTCTGGCCGTGTCGATTTGCGCAAAGCGACTGTCGCGGCGGTGGGCCCGAAGTAGATCTGGGGCACCTGGTCCAAGCCGAAGATCCAGCGGACAAGCGAGGTCATGGTGTGGAACACGAAGTGTACGAGAGCGCGTGCGCCGATGAGAAGACGACGCACGCCTAGTGGGGACTGGGGGTTCCCAGCAGGCTCAGCTTAACTAACGGCTCGTGTGCACGCCGGCGACTGACCAGCAAAAACTAAGTACGTGGACGAGCGGTAGAATTACACTCTGAAACTGAGCCCGGTTGCTGCAGGTGTTCGGAGTGAAGCCATCAAAGTCGTGGGAAAGCACCTGAAAGCACCCGAAGCGCTGACGAGCCACAATCTTCAGCTGGAGGGGAGGGTGACATTCAGGGACTGTACAATATAACTATCGGATGAATGAGAACTGGGAAAGGATACAATGTTATTGGTGCATGTTCTAAGGCTAGGTAATTAGAGTAATACGTCAGGCATCTATGATACAGTTCCACGAAAAAAGGAAAGAAATAGCGTTGTTATTGAGGCCTAGCAGTGCCGGTCGACGCGATATCACAGAGTTCCTGCAACGAGTATTCTGTAAACTGAAGTCAGCTGAGCATTTCGCTGATGCTGTGCGTGATACTCACCGACGTACGGAAGCTTTGTAGCGAGCTGCTGGGCAGAGTTGATGAGCACATTGAACGCTTCTTGTTCCTTGGAATAGGCTCCTTGGCGCGGGGATATACTTATGAGCAGCTCCCGATCGTTGCGGATGGCATTAGCGATGACGGTGAAACAGATCTAGGAGGCAGGATCAGTGGCGTGTTCGATGCCAAGTCGCACGATACGTACCCCAATTATAGGCTCGAGCATCGCGTAGTCTTCGTCCTTCAGGCTCTTCGTCAAGCCAATGACGTCCAGAATGACAGACAGCACTTTTTGCCGCGACTCCAAGTGGTATGTTCCGGGCATGCGATGCAGATCGACCTGCGCGGCAAGGGCAATAATGAGGCAGACCTTGAGACAAAGGGCATGCTGGGGATCCGAGCATAGGCTCGCCTGGAGCATCTGTGGATAGAGCAATGCGACGTGCGACGTGACTTCTTCAAGCGTCTCCCAGTACCGGGTATACCACTCTGACGGGAGTGCTGTGTGCTCGATGACGGGACCAGCGGACGTCGCAGCGGCCGTATCCGCGCGTATCTGAGACAGACCCATGGCTTCTCTGAACAGTATCAAGCTCTTGCAGCGCATCAGGACTATGGAGTGTTTCGCGAGCCAGGGTTGCATAAACTATAGCAAGGCACAGTAAACCAACAGTCTCTTGAAACGCCGCCAAACAAGCTCACCGAGAGTGACTTCAGTTGCCGGTCGTATTCCTCGTCGAGAAATGAGGGCCATCCAAGAATCATTTGCGCAACCCGGTTATTATAAATGTACTGCCCGACGGCCGTGATATATTCCTTGGTGTCTTCATCGGGCTCCTCGAGCATTAGCACGTCGTCCATATGCGGCGGAGTCAGCTGCAAGTTGTTGGATATGAGCACATTAGCCGCTTTGGCCATGTATTCACGGCCGGGATCTATTTGCCGCAGGTAGAGAGTGTACCAAGCAAGGAGGCAATAAATGACGACCAAGGTTGCTGAGTCCGGGGGCTCGCTGAGCGAATTTAGTATTGCACCCATTTCGACTTCTTCATTAACTACCAAAACATCTGTTTTGGTGTGAGCTCGCCACAATAAGCTTCCTAGCAGCTGCGCGGCATGGACCATGGAAGGATGGATAACCTGTCCCGAGAAGTCGCCGTTTCGGATGGCGTTAAGCTTGGATTCCCGGAAGTAGAAACCCAGCTGTGTTTGATGCTTGAGGAATAGAGAGCGTCTTTGCGGTGAAAAATGATGAGCTTGTTTCAAAAAATCTCGCGGCGAACCTTACAGTTGAAAAGTATTCTGGCATATCAGCCCGGAGCCGCCACCGGGTAAAGAAGCGATATCCTGAAACAGAGAACGAGTGACGTTCCCGATCAAAGGCTGTTCTCCAGGGGACGACGACCGATCCGATTCCGAAGAACTTGAGCCGGAGGCTACCTGCAGCAAAGAATCGTTCGGAAACGCGCCTGTAGCGAGGGTCAACAGACGGCATTGGTTATATGTGTGTCACCGACCGAGTTGCAGGGGCATTGACAGCATCGATGGTGGCTGCCATGAGGAAGAGACATCAAAGGCCGTTGAAGGGTCAACGCCGAGGACAGAAACCCGAGCTAGTTGCTGGTCCTGCGACTCGAACTGAGCGAGACGCTCCTCGAGCTCGAGGGTGCGCGTCAAAAGCGCGTTGGCGAGGTGCTGCTGCGATGCCTCGTCATATGCGCACTCATACTCTTTGCCTGCCGCATGACAAGTGTTGCAGCATGGCCGCTTTGCATCACATCTCTGTGCCAAGTGTCAGTGGGTATCATGAAATCGAACGCCACACTGTGCACCTTCTTCTTGCGCCTAAGGACTGGAAATATTAGCGAATGCGCAAAACAGGTGGCAGGGTCGTTCGATACCTGCAAGGTAAACACGCGGCTCCCTTCTGAAGAAGCGCGCTTCTCCGGTGTGAGGCGGATGGGTCACTGTAGGTGCAGTCGACTGGTTTGCGTGCTCGTGAGCACGGTCCACAAATTGGAGTCTCTCCATCGCAGCGCTGAAGGACGATCAGATGAGGGATCACTTTGAAGCGAGAAACATCTCACCATCTTTCTCGCTCTGTGTGCGAAAAAGTGAACGGATAGCAAAGGGCAGGGTCAAAGGACAGACTGACCTGCACGCCAAGCATGTTTGACTCATGGTAAAATCACGGTGTGGGAGGAACCTGGCGAGCCGTGGTATATTCTATATGCCTACTTATATGTTCAGATATGGGCAACCTGAAACGAGGCAAAGTTACAGGGCGTTGCGGCGGTAATCATCAATGCTGTCGGCGGATCTCTAGCGAAGATGGAATTTAGTGCATGGGTGCGAGGGTGACTTCGTTGGCCTGCGCCGTCCATCCGCCTATTGTAATTCCACAAAAAGCGCTTTCTACTCACTAGTCCTTCCGCTCGACTTTGCAGCAGCGATGTCGCCTGCGTAGGGACAGACAAGACTCAAGCCGCGACGGTCCATCGGGCGTCTGTATGGCGTCAAAAGCAAAGACGCTGAAGATTCGGTGCTGTGATAGACGCCAAGGTCACGTGGTGGCCAACTCGCGTTGAGGGCACGCGAGGATCGTTGAACGGAGTCTCCAAGCTGCGCCATCGCCTTCTCGTCCCGTCCTCCGTCTCCCGTCCGCCGTTGCTCGAGCCGCCATGGCCAGCGGTGTCGTGGTCGACACGTATGACAACGAGCACAGGCCTAGTTCCCCCGTCGCCTCGTCAGACAGTGACTCCGTCAACACATCAACTTCCAAAGTATACTTTGGTCCCGGGCAGCCAGCAGAGAAAAGACACATCCGCCCTCGGGAATCGAGCCACCCCACACCGATTAGGCGTTCCACCAGACGCTCTGCTGGGCCTTCTCTTCTTGCCCTTCAAACATCAACCGACGGCGAACGGGAAGATAACGTTGTATCCTCAAATGAAGTCGTGGTATCCGACCAGTCTCGGCCAGATACGCCCATGTTGCTCGAAGACGCACTTGAAGGTACGTTATGTACCGCATCTGGCGCTGTACCATGTGAGGTGAAACGCGTGCTACAGAGCCGTCGTCCGCTTTGGCTTCCAAGGTGCTCAGAGCTTGGGACAACCCCTCGCCACCTCCCAGCCCACCACTATCGCCACAGGAGGCTCAGAATAATACGGAAGCCGTACTTATTGACATGGACGACACAGTACACATACTGTCGCTGGAAGTCGATGGCGATACACCGTCAAGTGCGCGAGAGATCGCCGGCGTGGTCACTGAGAGCGCGCACGCCCATGCAGATGTACGGCCCGACCGCTCGGCTGAGGCGCAGGGTGACGAAATAGATCTCATCAACTTTGACTCCTTCACCTCATCGACTACGCCCGCTGTCAATCCCTTGCCTGCAACTCCGCCTAGGCCCTTGCTTAGCGCTCCGTGTAGCGTCGATGATCTTCTAGCTCCCACCCCCGTTCGTTCCCCACCCGATGAGATCTCGTCTCCGAGTCCCCCTCTCCAGGATTCTTCGGTTGGGCAAGAGGATCTCTCAGCGGCGGACGAAAAGGCCCGTGACCTTGTCACTCTATCTTCAGAGAAACAACAAGGCCTACCACTTCCTTCTCCGCCAGTAGTCGCGCTCGTTTCCGCAGAACCATCGCGCGAATCAGCCACGCAAACTCCTCTTCGCCGCTCCACGCGTCCGCGCCACAGTGTTTCCCCCTACTTTTATCCGCTGACCGTGACACCATCCAAAACTGAACCTGCCGCTCCACCAGGACCGAAAGTCGAGGTCGGGCCTGCCAGAAGGAAACGAACCACAACTAAGGAGCGAGATGTTGACCAGAAGCCCTCGAGAAGTTCGGACATCGCTTCAGCCAGTCCTTTCGTTCCTATAGAGGACATTTCCCGGACGTCTGAGGATGTGCCTCCAGACAACGCGGCTCGTCGAGCGAGCGAATGTTTTGGATCACCCACTAAGCCAGAGGCCGGTGAGGGGAGAGAAGACCACAGAGAGGCTCCTTCGGGACATCGCCATTTACGCTCTTTATCACCAACCTCCACGAATTTATTGATGCAACTCTTACCACTACCAAGTCCCAAGCCTGTCGTTGTTATGACGGAGGTTCAACATGATAAGAGCTCACATACCTCTGCAGTGCCGCCGCCGCCGCCGCCGCCAGACAACGTGACATCTACACTGCCCCCATTCTGTCTAGAAAACCAGGCTCCAGAACCTCCATCGACGCCCGTAAAGAAGGATACTTCAACTCTATTCCAAGATGTCGGCCGGACTCCGGCACGTCGTATCCCTATCTCTGAAGCTATCGCTCAAGGCACTGTGTCGCCAGCCAAGGCCTCTACGTTCTTTGCACCATTTCATGCTGACTCCACTAATCCCACACCTGGCCGTTCGACTGTCAAACTTCGCGCTGTCGGCGAGGCTCTGCGGAGCCCAGCGAAGCGTGTACCCATCCAAGAAGTTATGCCGTTCCTCCAGTCTCCAGTTAAGCCTACCATCCGCCCGGCTTCGCCTACCAAGTCCTCACATGTACGGAGTATGTCTGGGGATCCAATACAGCCTGTTGTACCAAAGTTCCAACATAACACGTCGGCAGAGCCTGTGCGATCGAGCTCGTCTACACTGAGGCCTGGTGAACTGTCTGGGCGCTCTGCACTAGCGCAGGGCGCTGCTCTTGAGAGCTCTCACAAGACTCACGAGCTATCCTCGCTGGTCGCTCCCCTCAGCATGCCGCCGTCCACCCAGGAGGCAGTTGAAGCTGAGCCTCAACAGCCGCGTCAGCCTGCTTCAAATATATCGTCTGGTCTCCGGTTGCCTTCATCTCGCGCGGAGAGCAAGATCCCTAGACCTGGAGCCAAACCATACTCGCGGCCTACAGCGGCGAGCACAGCCAGACCGATCCCGCGGGCGGCCCCATCTGTGCCAAAGAAAGCGCTACCAAGCACGTCTACGAGCAATGCTGCCGGCACCTCTGCGCCTACAGCCGTGAGTCTGACGAACCCAGTAACACCGTCCTCCCGCTCACAATCGCTACCAGGTTCGCCCAATGCGCATGGTCCGCAGGGTGGTGACCAACAAAACTCCAGTAGAGGTGAGCAGTGGCTCAGACGACAGTATGCCTCCACCTGTGGCTGGCCCAGGTCCGCGGACGGCTTCCAATCGCGTTGTCAAACCGCCTGCGAAACTGTCAGTCCCTGATACTGAGAATGGTACGCCACCGCTGAAGCGGAAGCGGGAGAGCGACGAGGCTGGGCACTCTCACACGTTGCCAGCGGGTGCCAAGCCTGTCGTCCTTATTCGCAAGGTCCCGCCGGCCCCGTCACGAATCGGCAAGCCTGTTGCCACTACGTCTACTAGTCGGCAGACGTCGGCAAAGGCGAGTCCCGCCAAGAGTCCTGGTCCGATCGTGGTGAACGGAGGCCTGAAGTTGCGCAAAGCCGTCGGCAAGAAGAAGCTTGAGAGTCCAGTACGGTCGCCTCCGCCTCCTAAGCCTGACTCGCCCATGGATGTTGTACCGTCGTCGCCTTCCACTCAGGCACAAGCTATTACTCAGGCGGCGTCACCGGCTAACCCCGAGGCTAATGAGGCGCATGTAGACATCGTTGTTGACCTCGTGAGAGGACCCACTGCACAGCCAAGACCGCCACCGGCTCAAGCGCAAGAGACGCAGCCCGCTGCAGACGCTCGCGCCGCTCAGCCAAACGCCGATGTTCAACCCGAAACAGACGCAGATGCAGCCACTTCGAACCTCCGGCGCGGCACACGCGCGCGCAAGGTCCCAACAACTGACGTCTTCGGCGTGGTCGCACCCCCGCGCACGACGGCAGGCCGACGGCGCACGATCCTGCTTCCAGACACGAGCGCGTTCTCGGGCATGTCCGCGCTCGCGCTCAAGTCGCTCACGAACACGAACACGCAGCGGAACCAGCGGCAGATCGCCGAGATTCGCATGGAGGTCATCATGAAGGAGGGCAAGCGCCCCGACAGCCCGACGACCAAGGTGCGCACGAGTCTCGAGCGCCAGCGCGAAGAACGTGCGAAGCAGCGCCAGGAGCGCGCGGAACGCAGGGCGCGCAGGTCCGACGAGGGCGACGGTGAGGGTGAGGACGAGGGTGAGGACGAGGGTGAGGACGAGGGTGAGGGTGATGATGTGCCCGAAGAACCGGCCGATGTGAGCCTTGTTGCGGCTGACATTGAGGTGGATGAACCGCAGAATCATCCCAGGGCCCCGGGCGATGAGGAGGACTACGGCACGCCCGAGCGACCGCCCAAAAGGATGCGGACAGAAGATGGTGTGGACGAGGCCGAGGCCGAGGCGAGGAACGGGAAGCAGGTCAAGTGGCACCGTGGGCTGGCAGCCACGGTCTACCTAGACGACACGCCCCCGACGCCGAAGAGGCCTTCTAATGGTGTGCCCATTAAGAAGGGCTGTCTAGCGCCGTCAGCCAAGGTAGCTTACTGTCTTTCTTTATGGCCTCGTAAATGTATGCTTACGCGAATGGATGTTAGGCGCGCCAGCTGGATACGATGGGCAACGTGCTTAATGCGGAGGCTCCATTGCCTGACGTCCAACTGGAGAACATCGTCGTCAGAAAGTTTATATACGAGGACGACGAGCCAGTTGTGCCCGAGCCGGCGCCGGCGCCAGCTAAGGTGACGCGCAACAAGGGCAAGAAGTCACGAACGTAATGACCTGTATTTCATACTGCTTTTCTCTATTAGCAGACATCCCTACATTTTGCGATGTCCCTGCCACTGTCCATCCCTTTAAGCCGTTATTCCACTGTAATGATGTGTATTGTTGGAAGTTAAGACGTTTCTTGGTTTCACAGGCGCGAATGAGGTGCGCTAGGCAAGTCATACAACCACCCGACGTTGCATTTATTAGTACAGATCTTGATTTTCTATGTACGATAGCGACATTTACTTTCCACCGCGGTAGTTGATGGTCGCCGATGCCTGGTTGACGGGGAGCACGTAGAGTTCGGCGATGTTGATGTGTGGAGGGCGTGACGCGGTCCAAACGATTTCTTCGGCAATGTCCTCGGCGACCACTACAGTATGATAGTTAGGGGCGAGAGCTCAAAATAAAGGCTGAAAAGACTCACAAGGCTGGAGGCCTTCGTACACCTTGTCCGCGAGAGACTTGTCCCCGCGGAAGCGGATGATGGAGAATTCGGTCTCGACCATGCCTGCACACAAGCGTCAGAATCGACTGACAGAGCTCGCTGTATGCGTCTTTAACGCACCAGGCTGAACCTCCGTGACACGGATGTTCGTGTTTACGAGCTCACGCAGGAGCGTGCCCGTGAAGGAGCGCAGGGCGTGCTTGGTTGCGCAGTAGATGCCGCCGCCGGCGTACGGCTCGCGCCCGGCGATGGAGCCGAGGTTGATGATGTGTCCCGCGTTGCGCGCTTTGAAGTCTGCGGTGGCCGGGACAAGCTGAGAAGGGCCAGGGAGAAGCAAGAACGGGAGAGCGAACCTTTGAGAAGCAGCTGCGTCACGGCGATCAGGCCGAAGACGTTCACTTGGAACATGGACTCGTAGTCCGCGTCCGCGATGTCGCCGACGCGTTCCATACCGAGGACGAAACCCGCGTTGTTCACTGTACTCGCCGTGAGCCCTCAGCTCTGGGTATCGGAGAACAAGACGCACCGAGGATGTCGACCGTCTTCAGATTCGCAGGGACGCGGTCAAAGAGTGTGTTGATTTGCTGCCTGTCCCCGACGTCGAGCTGCACAGCGGCGAACTTACCACCAGCCTGTACGCCGGACTCCTTGTGTGCGGCAACACACGACTGCTCGACTTGCTTGAGCTGTTCAATGCGCCGCGCGGCGAGGATGACGTTCGAGCCAGCCTAATTAATGTCTGTAAACGACTGCTAGGGCATCTCTAGACCTCTCAGCTCAGCATACCCTAGCGAAAAGAACAGCTGTCGCCTGAGAATAAATTAGTATTGAGCGCGACGGTAATGCGATCGCTGCACTTACCGCACCAATACCAGCACTGGCACCGGTAACGAGGACAGTCTTGCCCTGGAGTCGAGACGCATTGAAGACGGACATACTACGATGATGAGTATGTGCCACTGGAGTGCGTGGTCTGGCAAATAGAAAGCTCTTGCGGATAGGAGGGAGAACGGATGCGTTACGCTGAAAGACACGGAACGCCAGGATCACTGCATATAAAGGCTCGTCAGTGTTATCTGATTCGCAGCCGCGGCCAGCGAAGACACGTTTGGACACACCTTGCGGATCTTTCTCCGATATAGAGCTTGTCGTCGGCCGCGTTCACGAATGCGTGTGCTCTGAGTGGGCAGGCGCGGGCAAGGCGGGGCGAGCAATGATTGTGCGATCTCTCACCTCGACCCTTATCATCTCACGGCATGCCGCCGGAAACGGTCAGGAGACCTCGCGACATTGCGCATGTTTCAGGGCTGCATGTGCAGAGCAAAACCCCCGCGGAGGGCGGCGACGAACAGTGGGACGCGCTGTTAGGGTGGTTGAGGAACAAGCATGGAATGGACGTCAGTTCGGGTGGGCTCCTCGTCGAGCGTAGGGGCGCAGAAGGCGGGTCTTACACTACACCCTGGCACCTCTGGTTTGCTCAACTTTTCCTAGGTGCTGGGAAGGGATTGTTCGCCATTCAGTCATGTGCAGTGAGCATTCCTGGTGTATTCACCGTGGTGGCCGCGCTCATGCTTCTGTCTAGCGGTCAACTGCACTCTTCACCATCCCAGCAGGCGCAATGATAAATCTGAAGACTCTGTCTCCGTTGTATCCGGGAGCTCGAAAATTGCTGCTGACGGCCAACCAGATGATAACCCTGCACCTAGTGTTGCATAGACCTGAAAAAGACAGCATCTCGCGCGATCCGAATTGGGGCCCGTATCTCTCTACCTTGCCCAGAGAATTCAGCAGTCATCCCATGACGTGGGCCGTACGGAACCATTTTGGGCTCGAAACTGCATTGGAAAAGGATCTGCTGTCGCTCTTGCCCTCGGCAGTCATGTCTGCACTGGGCGAGCGAGTGTGCCGGTTCGCAGCGGACTGGAAAGCCATCTGCAGCTATGTCGTATGTTGTCCGGCTTAGTTTGAAGGAAGACTGACATTGTGTAGGCTATGGCACCAGGCATAACTTCCAAGACTTCTCGACCCGACCTGACGTCAACCGATTTCCGTCCTGACAACCATCTCCTCCTCCAGGATTGCTTGTGGGCTTGGTTAAACGGCGGGTAGCCCTCCTGCACACTATTGACCCGCATTTACCCCCTTGTAGTCAACACGCGTTGCGTGTATTATCAGCTAGACCCGAGCTCATTGGCCCCGGAAAATCTGACCCTGTGTCCAGTTCTCGACTTTGCAAACCATAGGCCACATGACACCCATATCATCCCTGTGTCACCTTCATCAATATTTCCACCAACCCCAGGTTCGTCCAGTAAAGGTCGACATGGTCTTGGTGGCGATTACACGTTTATGGCGTCGAGCGAGACGCCAGTACACCAGGACGAAGAGCTCTTTCTCAGATACGGCGGCCATTCTAATCGGATGCTGTTCGTGGAATACGGATTCGTAAACCTGTGGAACGAGGGTGAATGCACTGGAGGCCAATTTGACGGAGAGGTCGACGTGCAAGATATGATGGAAGAGCTCTTTGTCGTCAAGGGAGCCACGGGCGGGACTTTGAAGGACGCGCTAGAGGAAGAGGGATATTGGGGGTACTGCCACCTTCCCATGTATATACACCGCAGCCCCGCTAATACATTTGCTCGCCGTGGTATCCAGCGACTGGACGATGCATTCTCAGCCGACACCGGCACACCCTTCGTATCGTCTCGTGTCCGCGCTTCGACTGTTACACGCCGCGGCGGATGATGCCACCGAAGATGTTCTCGACCGCGCGCTCGAGCAGTGGCGGGCTGTGCTCTGGGGACAAGTAGAGCAAATATCCGAAGAGAACGAAAAGGCCTGGCGGAATACGCTTCCTCTCATGTGTCAACGGATTGCGAGGAAGGCCAGGGCGGAAATCCAGTCGATGCAGAGGCATGGCTTGCAGCCGAACGGGCTGGAAGACCCTGCGTGGAAAGGATGGATGCTGAAGAACATCGATATGCTGTGGCGAGAAGAATACGAAGTGGCAGAGGCTGTTGGAGAGAGCGTCCGAGTAGGAGTAGATTTCTGAGCGAGCTGTGTTGTCCAATGACACTGCTTTCTATTTGTGGTGTGGTGGCGGTGAGCGAGCCCATGGCGCTCGTTTCACCGCGTTTGGCTCTGTGATCCCTTCCGCCGTCGGCATGCTCCCATAACACCGCCTATCCGAACCACCCGGCTTCCCTTTCCTCCACCTCTTTCCCGCTTTCTTGTCCTCTCCTTCTTCTGCTTTTAACACTATATTTACGGCCTATACTACTGCTTGAAAGGAGGAAGCCCACGACTCTTCCGCCATGGCTCTCGAGGCGCTTTTGTCGACCAGAGCCCAAAGGTTCTTCATGGTTACAAGTGAGCAGTGACAGGCTTAATAGATCTGCCCCACAAACTCACCGATACCCCACTCAGTTCTCTTGCGTGCGTATTGTTAGGCAGGATTATTGGGGTCATATGCTGAAGATGTTCCAGAGGGATTTGTCGTGCTAGCAATGGTCGCCACAGTCTTTGCATTTGTGCGTGCTCCGCCCTGCTGCGCTTGTTTTCAACTCACATTTGCCTCAGGTGGAAGAGGATGTGGACCTCACGCTGCCCCAGTACAAGACTGTGCCGTGCTATCTTGCACTCTTCATCCTTGCCGAGTGCGTGCTTGATACATCGTGTGCTATCTCCTGTGTGCTCTCGAATACTTATCAATCAACAGGATATTCGAACTACTCATGGCCTTTGACGCTTTACGGCTACGAAACGTTATCCAACTCATGGGCATCCTAGGTCAGATCCCATCCGCAGCATATTGAGTGCTTGCTGAAACCTGAGCCGAGCAGGATTCCACCTTGGTCTCATTGTCTTCGCTGCAATCCAAATACACGAGACAAGAGCGGCATTGGTCAGACCAAAACCCCAGAACGCTTCGGTGAGTAATTAATGACGGGGGTTCGAGTCGTCTATTAATGAAGCGCAGCAAGGATCCGGCCCTGGGTCGCTCTGGGAGAAGGTCCTGCCATATCTCATCGTCTCGCCATGCATTCTTGGAGCGTCATGGCTCGCTCTGGTGTTCTGGATTAGGGAACTCTACTTCGAATTCGGGTATGTGCATTGGCCTCTCGCTCCAGTTGCGTAAATCTTATGACGTTGCAGGTGGGCAATATTCCACGTCGTCGGTGCCAATCCCGCGATGAAGAGTATGATTTTCTTGCTGTTCACGCTTTTCGTGTCTTACATCAGCGCCTTAGCCATGTACCAGTTCTACCAGATCATGATCTGCTTGCTCAAGTTCGACTTCTTCTGCTTCATCGGTGTCACAACACAGGTGTGTTCCTCCACTCTGATCGCTGACTTTCGCTCAGATGTGCCTAGCTGTTGATTGTTGTACTCCAAACAAACTCGGCCGAGTTTGGAGTGACTATTGCCGCCATCCCAGTTGTGCTATTCCTGCTTGTAGGCGCAGGCATAGCCGTGCAACGCGAGATCAAATGGCTCATGTCAATATCGCTCGTGATGATGCTTGCGGCTGAGTCATATTGTAAGTGGATGATTTACTGTCAGTTCCGTTATGACTCATGTCCGGCTAGTCAGTGAGTCGGTGAACGGGTGAGGATGACATAGTAGTGCTGACAGCAGCCTAAAGTCTTCAAGCTTGTACGCTTCTACGAGCCATCATCGCGAGAGCAATACCAGACGACGCGGACGACACTAACGGTGTTCAGTAAGTTACCCCTTACTTCTAAGTCTCATTGTTCTCATGTGCTTGCAGCCATCCTCGCCTTTTTGCTCCTATTTGCAACGTTCGCTGTCGGCCTGCGGTGCTTCGCAGACTTCGACAAGGGACTTCAGAGCTCCAAGACGCACGGTCAGTCCTACCGCCCGGTTGCGACGAAGCTCACGAAGCTCGACCTCTTCGGTGATTACTCATTTCCCCTCGATAGATATCACTAGGCGAAGAAAGAAATTTTACTCATCCGCCCCTGTGTCTAACAAAACAGGAGCCGACGACGACACTGAGGGTGGCACGCAAATGCAATACAGCGATGGCGCACAGCTGCAGCCGCGCATATCGATCGAGTAAGGCACGCCCACATCGTCTGTATCGAAAACGAAAACAGAGACGACCATAACGACCCGACTGCGACTTCGATCCGTAGGTGTACCACCTTGCCATGCTATCCAATGCTACAGCACATCTCTTATGTTGGCTGTAACGGACCTTTCGTGCATAATTTGTCTAACTTATCACTGCCTTCTTTCGACTTTATGTACCTGCGCTCTCACGAGGACTCTGTCAGGGTGGTATTATGTGCTAGCTGTAATGGTTACATGTAGCGGAGGGTTATGTCGAATGGGTGCGAGCCCGGGCTCCCTATGAAACGCTGTGTCTGTTCGCAGACCAGTGCGTTCTAGTCGATGTGTCAGCCGTTGCTGTTCTGTAACTCCGACCATGCATTTCATGGCAATGAAGTAATAGAATAGGCCATCTTCTAGGAGAGTTCACCGGCATCTTCTGCACACTCACGAGAAGCATCAAATACCATGGTCATGTCATTTAGACTCTAGCCCTCACAGTTCTGGCTGTATAGTGCATATCATCTCGAATGGTTTAATGCTCCACTTCTTCGACTAAAGCACTTCTCCAGCACATTATATCTCAAAAATATACGAGGAACACATCCGCTTCCGCTCCGACCTGAACATATAGGACTGCTCCACGCTGATTCCATGGCAATCAGGAGACGGTGTGTTCATCAATGTAGTGACCGGGTGCTAATCGGGCACACAAGGCCCGGGCTCTAGTACCTGGTCACTACGTAGACTGTAAGTGTGATGCTGAAAGCGCTATACGTTCATCCAGACACTACTTAAGGCTCAGCAACTCGAGAAGAGGGTTCGAAATACTCACATGAGAATTGTCGGAGCAGGAGATGGTTGTGCCGCTGCACGAGGCGTCGGAGCTGTTTGCAAGACGGAAGGTTGCAGGCCTGTGAGGCCAATGCCAGTGTTTAAGCTCCAACTTTACTTGGCATGTGGCGCCACAAAGGTGCCGGGAAGCTTGCGCACGTCCTTCAGAGCAGACGCGCAGCGACATTCCTAACTTTGGTTTCAGATGATAAAATACATTCTGTTGGTTGCGATGTTAGCTCTGAACCTCTATTGTAAGTTCTATTGGTACTATGGCTCTGCCAGTGTGAATGACAAGGACTCGGACAGATGGCAAACAAGATAAGCAATACAAGCATCAGGAAAAAGACTTAGGTCCACAATACTACAGAGTGCTACAGGAGCATTTTGGAGCACTATGGACCCAAGTCCTGTTTCCTGATGAAAGCGCTACAACAGACTCAGATAAATGTACACTTGACTTTGGGCCATTCGAAACGATTAGGATTCTGGTTTGCATCCGATTGCAAGTGAATGAACATCGAAACATACGCCAACTTGTACGGAAGGCATAGAGCATTTAATATGGGAACGACGGTAAGGCATCTTTGAAATTTAAGAGGCTGGCTGGCAAGCCTGGAACACAGGTATTAAACTGCCAATACTTGTCTCAACAGCGCAGATCATGTAGTACATAACATATCGAAGCCAGGCTGAGACCCCTGAGACTTCAGATCGCACACTGGAGATATGTTCTCAACACTTCTCTTCGGTTTGCTCTCTGACACATTCATCTCGGTGGTAGTTGTCAAATGGCTCCACAATACATATATCCTGCTTTCCCAGCCAGCCGCAATTTGCGAAAACATCTGCAGGTATCCCGCCGCAAGCACAGCAATCCTAACGAGTCATGTACCATCCTGCGGTGGAGCCAGCCCTTACCGTCCCTGGCACATGCGGGCTGGGTAGTTGGGACTGAGTCATGACGACACCTGGTGGCATCCTTTGCCACATCTAGGTACAGTGTAACCGTCTTTCAGAACCCGTCACGTATAAAGGGAAGACAAAGGCCGTCGGGATTCTGCAGCAAACAGCTCTCTCGCCTCTCGCGTATCCAGCTCTTGCAAACCTCCACAATGTTCTCCAAGCTCACTGTCTTCGCCACGCTTGCCCTCCCTCTTCTTGCGGCCGCCACACCCACTGCCAGGAATTCGCAGCCCACCACGGCGTGCTGTGACAGCACCGAGTCTGTACGTCTGCCCCACTTTGCATAAGTTGCCGGAGAGTCGCTGACCATCAATATTGCTCTTGCAGGCCAACTCTGCGGCGGGTGCTGCCATCCTCGCCGGGCTGGGCGTCGTCGTGCAGGACGTGACCGGTCTCATTGGCCTGGACTGCAGCCCGATCACCGCCGTGGGTGTCGGGGACGGCAATGCATGCAGCAGCCAGACTGTCTCCTGCTCTAATGGTATCATCGTGAGTATTTCCTTCCCTTGGACTGCGGAGCTTGCACTCATGCTGGTTGCATATAGGGCGGCATTGGCATTGGCTGCGCCCCCATTACCCTCTAAGCTCGTTCCATCTCATCTCCAGCAATAACGGAATGGTGCAGTCGGGATGGAGTGTATCCGGCGAGTGTCTTGTAACATTGTTTGTCTGCATGTGTGAATATAGTATGTATTTTGCGCATCTCGAGATACAGGTTCTGTAGCCGACATTGGCTGAGGAGGTGCCAGCTGAGCTTAGGCTACTTCTGATGCATGATGGCTTGTGCGACGTGGGGATTCCATAGCACGACGCCACGAAGTCACGGGGAAGCAAGCATGTCCATTAACAAGGTTATGGTCTCGCAGGCAGACGTCGCAGCAATCTCGGTGGGCCTAGCTGCGTCCGCGGTCGGTACAGGACGTATCGAGCCCTATACAGGGCCAATTTGAAACGTATGCCATAATCTGGGAAAGAATACCGAGGACAGCCAGATGAAATGGACTTCTCCAGCACCGCCCGCCTTGACGGCGACAAATTTAAATGAACAACACGAGGATTGGAGAGCGTCATGTGAGATAGTAAGTGAATCATACCTGGTAGCAGATGTAAGCTATATTCAAGAATGAGCTTCGCAGGCCCTATGGCAGCCATTTGGAGCAGTGAGGTGAGCGGGACATACGGTGCACAGGGAAACACGCGTAACGGCCAGGACGAATCTAGTGGATATTACAGGAAGTCAGGTGCGCGTGACAAACGCGTGAGTAAATAATATAACGGAACCAGCCACCAAGGAACCATCACCGAGACTTCTTCCCCTTTGCAGCCCTCTTCTTCGGCGACGAGCTCGTAGCTGCCGTCGTGTCCTTCGACGTAGGCTTTGCCTCCTTGTCCTTCGTAGGGAAGAGCTTCGCTTGCAGCTTTTCAAACTCTTCATCATCGATCTCCGGAGGGGGTAGCACTGCCTCTTTCCGCGACCGCTTTTTTGGCGACACTTGTATCTTCTCGTCGTCGTTATCGTCGTCATCGCCCTTGACCCGCCTCTTCCCGCCCTTGCCTTTTGTGCTGGGCTGCGGCTCCGCGTATTTGGCCGCGAGACTGTCAAAGAAGCCGTCCATGTTTTTGCGCTTCTTTAGAATGAGGGCCTGCAGCGCAGATGTGTCCTCCTCGCCCTCTTCCTCTTCCTCTGCACCCTTTTTCTCCTTACCCTTGCCCTTGTTCTTCCTGGCAGTAGGCTTATCGCTCCCATAGAACTCGTCCCACACGCCAAGGTCCTTCGCGAGCTCCTCTGCCTCGGCAGCTTCTTTCTTGCCCTGCTTCTTGCGTACGAGTTTCGCCTTCTCATCCTTGATACTCTTCTCCCATGTCTTGAGCTTGGGCAGTTCGCCCTTCTTGATAAATTCAGAGATGATGACGATAAAACGTGCTTCGTCGTCAAAAGTAGAGTGGGGAATGTGCATCATAATAGTATCGATAGAGCCGTCGTGCTCGACGTAGGCAGCCTTGAGGTCTTCAACCTCTTCCACCGAGCCTGCAAAAGACACATGTGTATGAGTATCGAGGCTACGACAAGGTGCTCCTCTGTCCACCTTGATACTCTTTCTTCAAATCATCGAGTTTCTCCTTCGTCACCTTGTCGAACAACTCCTCAAAATACGCTTCCCAGCCACCATCCTCAGCACCAAAGTCGAGTCCCTCGTCGGTTCGCCCGGTCTTGTCGTAGCGCTGCCTGCGCTTATCGTCGCCTAGTACTGCATATGCAAAGCCAATTTGCTGAAACTTGAGAGCTGTGGCAGCTTTGGCGTTCTCGGCCGCGGTAGAGTGCTTGTCAGGATGATGAATGAGGGCGAGCTTGCGGTAGGACTTCTTGATGTCGTCGGGGGTGGCAATGTTGGTAAGATTTAGAACGCCGTATAGGTCAACAGTATCTGGGTCCTGATCTGGGAAGAACTGCGCGATGGGGTCTGGCCTATCGTCCATGTCGGGGTCGTTCGTCGTGGTCAATGCGTGGAAGACGCGTCTGTCACGCGCACCGAGACGCGTTCGGGGAAATTGCGTTACAATTGTGATATGTGTGACAAAGACGCGCTTTCTACCTTGGCGACCGTCACGCCCTCTGCCGGTTCCTGGATCTCTGAGTTGCAGTGAAGCATGCTGCCTCTGAGGTCTGTGGACCGGATGTTATAGTCAGTGTTGTCCTTCTCCCCTCAGTCTACAAACTATGCTCAGTCCTCTCTTTTTGGCTGCCACTCTTTTACTTCTTTCTGCCTTCGCCCATAACACCGCTAATGCTCAGGTAGCTGTTAACGGCCAAATATTCACAAACGGTCTCGCTATCGTCGATGCACCTCAGCCAGGAACGTGAGTGATCTTAATGGTATACCAAGCATTCAGGCACTTAACCACTCTATTCAGCACTCTGCACGCTGGAGCAACCCAAAGTGTTGCCATAGACATCAGCGGAGACGGTCACCTCCCTGCAGACTCCGGCCCTGGCTCAAGCTCGGCGACTCATTTCGACAGCCTCGAGATATACCTCACGTCCTATGCGACGTCCCTCAATCTAACGGTATCGTCGGGGCCGGTCTTGCTCACTCAGGAGCCTGGGAGCACCGTCAAGCATGTCAACTGGCTCATAGACTCGTGTATACCCTCTGGGAACTATAATGTTTGTCTCTTGCCTTGACCTGAAACGCTTAGGAGTGACTGATGCCACTATAGCTGACCTTCTACGAAGGCTCCCACATTAACTCGGAGGCGTTCTTCATCATTACTCCGCTTCCGTACGTTCCTCCACGCGTGCCTGTCCCCTGGATTTTCTGATGCATCTTCCTAGTATCGAGATTCAGAATACTAATTCAAACCCAGGCCAGTGCTCGAACGGCACAAATCCTATCCAATCGTATCCGCAAGCCCAAGTCGCGCCATCTCACAGTCCGTGGCTCGACGCAAACAACTCTACTTCAAACGTTCAGTACCCAAGCGTCGCAGATGCAGCCGTTGGGCTAGCAGTGTCACCGATTGCGGCAGTCGCGATGTCGTTCCTCCTTTATTCTCTCTTGTGACTGGAGCCTAGTAATCTGCTCTTGGTGTGTTGATGTAGTGCCTTTACGCGCAGTGATCAACGGTAGAGAGTGACCGTAAGCGCACCTCATGGATAATCTCGCCTTGTTGGACGCCGACTCTACCCTCCTTAAGTGCTGATACTTTAAGCTGCGGATGATTCTGTCCAGGCAATATCGCACGCGTTGTGCTTAATGTGCTTAACCTTGCGGCGTGGCGCCGTACCAGTACTTACCGATATGTGGCGTACTAGCGGAAGTACGTTCTGCATTTCCTTTTCCTATATCCTATGATTGCGCTCCCTGTTTCATAACGCCGGATATCGCAACAAATAAGTCACAACCTTTGAGTCATCTCAAGGTGATCCGAAAATGAGTGTACAAGACAATGTATGAAAGTTCGTCCAGCGTCACGGACAGCCATGATGTGTTCCATTATCTCATATGCATGTTCTAATCATGGTGCCGTCGCATGTCGTCGACAATGCGGATGGCCGCTAAGGCCTGAGGAACTGTATCCGTATATTGCTGTGTGTCCCCGTGCTTCCCCATGTTATGCCATTGGTGTGAAATTGGCCTCATGTGGGCTGGACGTGTCACGAGCTCGGATTGAGTGAAGAATAGCTGGGCCGACCAAGGCCTCTGCACTCCTGTAGCCTGTTTAAAAAACGTGCGTGGGTTTCCCGACGCCTTTGTGGTGTCGCACAGAGCCCGAAATCGCTTGCGGTGCAACTAAGCTGGGACATTCCCAACGAAGCCCGATACCTGGACCATGCCATCTATGCGCAAACACCATGTTCTCCTATGCAGGCCTTGGCATGGCTATAGTGTCTCGGTGGTAAATTTCAAACAGCTCCACAATACAGCGGGCCTTCCTTCTATTTCCCGCTATCAACCACATGTCGCAAATTCATCTGCAGGTATCCCGCCGCAAGCACAGCAATCCTAACGAGTCATGTACCATCCTGCGGTGGAGCCAGCCCTTACCGTCCCTGGCACATGCGGGCTGGGTAGTTGGGACTGAGTCATGACGACACCTGGTGGCATCCTTTGCCACATCTAGGTACAGTGTAACCGTCTTTCAGAACCCGTCACGTATAAAGGGAAGACAAAGGCCGTCGGGATTCTGCAGCAAACAGCTCTCTCGCCTCTCGCGTATCCAGCTCTTGCAAACCTCCACAATGTTCTCCAAGCTCACTGTCTTCGCCACGCTTGCCCTCCCTCTTCTTGCGGCCGCCACACCCACTGCCAGGAATTCGCAGCCCACCACGGCGTGCTGTGACAGCACCGAGTCTGTACGTCTGCCCCACTTTGCATAAGTTGCCGGAGAGTCGCTG